ATCAAGCAGGAGTTGTCCGAACCATGGCGCACATCAGATCGTCGTTGAGTCTGCGGCTCGGAAAGTGTGTTCCCGGGTTGGAAACGGTCAACATGCAGCCAGGCCACTGGGATTGAAGTAACAACCCGCTTCGACCCTTTGCTGCAGCATGGGCGAATTGATTCGGGGCGAGAATGGCACCGGGCTGTGAAGGCATGCATCCCAAATGCGGGGCTGATTCGCCCGTAGGCTGATACGCATCTCTTGTAATCCCAGTCACCCGTCCAGTGGCCAAAGGGAAGGCGCCTTCTTTCTGGCGCTTGACCTTTGAGGGAAGAAATTGTGTCAGCATGTCCAAAACTGGGTGCCGACACCCGTGGGTGGCACTGCACTGGGTGCCCATGGCAAATTTGCCCAATCTGTTTCAGAGCAAAAACATATGCGCCATGGCCAAGCCAAAATCTCGCACTTCCCAAGCAAGGTGAAAACGGTGGCGCAGTGGACTTGCCGGAGACCTTGGGTGCAAGCAGCAGGTTTGTAGACAATGCGTTGAAGCAGCCGGTAATTGATTCGCAACCTGTTGGCTGATTGCGGAATTCACCGCCTCACTGCCTCTGGTGTTCCTGAGCTATCGGCATAGCTTTCTGGGCCGAAAACAACATGAATGACATCGATTGAGTCTGTGAAGACTTTTAACCTTTGTTGGGCCAGTTGCGTTGCTCACTTTCAGGAAATCTAACTTGGTAACAACTCTTCTTCAAATTGGACTCTTGGTCTCCAACATCATTTTGTTTCCGAACAATCCTTTGAGGGACAATCTCCCACAACACTGCCAGCCTCCCCCGGGCATATCAACAGTCGTGACCTGCGGCCCCTGCGGTGAGATGCCCCACCTGAGGGATTTCGAAAGAGAGGCTACGTAGAGTGAATCGAGGGCCATGGGGAGAGATTAAATGTTATGCGCTGTGAAAATCCTTTGTGGTTACCTTTATGGGTAGCTTTATATGGCAGGGGAAGGAAGAAATGGTTGAGGATTAGTAGGAAAAGCGAGTGCCCCTTTGTGGTTGTCTTTTATGGGCTAGGAGAAGGAAGAACTGATTGGTTGAGTTATTTAGCACGTGCCTTGGTGCTGATGCTTTGCCAAAACCGATGGGTGAAAGGAAAGGGACACTTCCGAGCCGCACCTTGGTGAACCCCACCGACCAAAGATGACCAAAGGAGGCGCTGGTTCCCATTCGACGCAGGCAAAAGGCCTCCCCGGCTTCCAACAAACCAAGCAGAGACGGTTGAGTTGCGGTTGCGTTGCATGGGTTCAACTAACCAATGCGAGCAGCTTCTGGACGCCTGCGCAAACCCACAAAGCAAAAAGCTGGAAGTACTGCAGCCACAAGGGTGCTGTTGGCGGGGGGGAGCAATCTCATTGGTCAGGCCTTCCAGAACACCTTACAAAGGATATCCTTGTGGCATTTCCTGGCACCCCATGGGAGCCCACGAGGCCGAAAAACGGCGCCAAGAGATTTCCCTCCCGAAGTGCGCGTGCCCAAGCCGAAACAAACAGGTCTGTGGACAACCCTTGCATGTCTGACTAACCTCTGTACAGCCTGTGAAACGGAATAAGCGACATAAGTGCCAAAGGTGACTGCTGTTTGCCAGCTAGGACAAAGGCCCCTTCCACCCCTTCTCAAGTGAACAAACTCAATCAGCCGCAAACATGTGCTACGCAAATGCGCTCCAGTTTCTCCACCGGCCAAAGCTAAACTGCGTTCCAGTGTCAAGTCCAGTAAGACATCAAGCTGAGTATACCATCATGCGAAAAGGCAGCCTCAAACTCACTTCAGAATCGCATATTGTTCATTGCCCATGAAGCTATGCATCTTCGAGCCATGTTAAGCCTTGGCCCCGATAAGTCTGCAACGGTTCCAGGATTTGGTTCACCTTGGACTTAACTTCCGGTAAGCTCGGCCCACCACATCCTGGCAACGAACGTCTTGCTTTTGACCACGTCCCACCCACCCCCTCCTATTCTTCTCGAGTTCCAATGGGTTTCCCGATCCCCCGTGTCCGGTTCCCACTTTCCGCACCTTGGAGTGAGGAGAGTCCTCGCTAGGCGAGCCCCCACGCTCACGCACCTGGTGGTGACCCGATCACACTCATTGAGTCCATCCCGATTCAGAGGCAAACAGGCGCTGAACCACGCGGTTTGGGGTCGTTCAGGCTGTGTGGGGAGCCTCGTTTCCCTGACCGATTTGAAGCCGGAGTATGACTTGCTCCGTAGTTGTGGAAAGACGGACGCACTCGTTTTGGTTGTTGTCAGCAGGGAACCACGAAGACACAAATACATAAGGTGTCACCAGAGGGAGCACTCTTGACAACGGGGCCCTTTTGAGGCTGGCCGCTGAACGAAAGAGAGTTGGCATCCTTTGGCGGATGCCACTGAAAAACGACTTTCATAGAGCCAAGCTGGACATATATACGGCTTCGAAGTGGCCTTGTTAATGAGCTTCCACAAAGCGCAGCCATCACTCTCCTCGCAGGCGAGCAGTACTCCGCTTACTGACATGATCATAGATGGCCAAGAGTTGCAAGCAGTCAGGGCAGTACAAACCTGGAAGTCACCCTGCCTAAGAAGAGGGGTCAAAATGTTATTTCCTGGCAAAAAGGTTCAGCAGCCAATGGTGGTCAGCTTCAAGTAGCTTGATGTCAGGGGTGCTTTCCACACGTGTGAAACGTACTCACTCATATCACAGAGTTCTGCTAGCAGTATTCCGTGCAGAAGGCTCCTGATGTTTCCTCTTCATCGTCCCTGCCCACAAGCATGCAACCAATCCCAAAACTAAACTGGATCGATGTCTCTAAAAGTCACAACCTCCACATCACACCAATTGCCCATTGCAAAACATGCAACATCCTAGCAATCCACCTCGCTGCCAGCTCAGTGTTTGGAGGACTGAGTGCAGTTTTCTTGAAGTCTTTGACCAATGGTCACCAGTTCTAGTTGACCTGGCTCTGCGATTGGGAAGGGAAATTCCCAACAAGCAGCTACCAACATAGACTGGAATACAGAAACCGACAATCCCAATAATTTGCACAATAATGTGACTGTTTGCCTCTGGGCAGCTTTCCCCTAGAAACGTGTTACATGCAGCAAATCAATGGCTTCCCCAAACCGATCTTAAGTTCGCTGTCTGAAGTTGGCGCCATCCACCCAGAACAGAAGCAGCTATTATAGAAGCCCTTCAAGTCAAAAACGGCTCATACCGAACTTGAAGGGGATACGAATTGCCTAGCGTTCTATGGGCGACATCTGACATCTTTGATCATCTTTGTCTCTTTTCCACAGCTGTGCCGTCATGGGAGTCATCCCCGGGTTTGGCCCCGGCAAAGCCAAAACCGCTTTGTAGAAGCAAACAGGGGGTCAACCAAGCAGCCTGTCTGTCCATCTGGCACCCCTGAGGAGGGCAAGTATAATGCAACTCTGAAGTTGCCATAACTTCACAGTCCGCTCCAAACCCTGGAAAAAAATCAAGTATCCGCGTCTTATATATGCATATATGATTTGCTTTTGGGTGTTCAACAAGCCTGGAGTGAAGAGCCTCACCTTGCGGGATTTCAACGAAAAGGTCAAACAGTTGATGCTTTGGTCAATGGACAACCTCACACGCTGCAGTTTCATCCTTCAGCTCCTACGCTTAGGACTGTCCTCTACCCTACTATCACTACCCAAGAAGGGTGTCCAAAAGCTTTGGGCGCCCAGCGACAAAAGCGGCCAGCACTTCCTTGAACCGAATCCAGAGACTTGCTTGAGTTGATTGGTCAGAAAAAGTCCGTTTGTATTTCTTTGCCACTAAAAAGGTCCTCTCTAAAAGTTTAAAGTCCAGGGGCTCAGGGAGTGAGTTGAGAACAACGTGAGTAGTTTCCACTTGAAAGGGACCGTCACCCGCAAGCTGCAACCGATGGCTCCTGGAGGCTGTGGTGCACATCGCGCTGGGCCTCGGCTCTTGTGGCGCCTGAACCCGCTACTCGGACAAAACCGAAGCGGCCGGCCTGTCAAAGCAAACATGATGAACCGTATGCCTCTTTGGTCCAGGCAGTTCTCTGCTGCTTGACTACAATGGCAAACAAAGCAAAATAGTTGGAGCAGCAACTCTTGAGGGTCATTTCTTGAGCACACATGCATGCAACTGGCAATGCCTTTGTTCTAGCAATGGCTCTGCTGATTGCATGTGCCTCACCCCGGCAGAAGCTAGAGGCCGCTACCCTGCTTCGACAGAAGGCGGGCAGCCATTTGAAGAAGGTGACCTGAACTGGAGCATCTTGAGCATCGGCACTTGACTGCTTTTGCCACATTGGTGAAAAACAAATTGGATGGCCGTGCCATTGCCGAAAAATGATATGTTCGGACTGTGGTAAATAGGGGGTACGGTCTGGAGCTAACAAACGTCTAAAGTGATCACTGCCATCTGCAATGCATCACCAACATGCCGGGCATTGCTTTCTTCCCTGCAATCTGAGGCAGCTTCGGACCCGGTCATGCTGCTCCCATCGAACCGCTCTCCAACTTGCGCACCTCGGTGCCGGGCGTTTGAAGCTACGGAACCTGAGGAATTCGCGGGAGCTAAAGCAACCTGATATATGCTAAGTACAGGTCAATGCCAAGCATCTTCTCCGGACGAGCTATGATGGATGACGTGTGCCCAGGAGCAGTTGGCCTTTTTCTTCTGCAAGCGAAGCCCCGCATCTGCCACCGAAGCTTTTGCAGGGCAGACTGCCTGCCACGTCCAATTCACAGCATCCATGTCGCTTGTGCACGGACACCTGGCACATCTGGCTTCAAGCCCGAAGACATGGAGCAGTTGCGGAGTACATATCGGCCCCAACTCCAAAGAGGCTCACGCATCTTTGCATGAAGGACTGCGCACGTTTCAAGCTTTCATCATTGCGTCCCAGAAAAGCAGCCTGGCTGCCCCTCCCCCCCCCCCCCCAACCCCACCTAGCCCCAGCCGCTTCAGGGGGGCCAAAGCCTACACCCAGCTCACGGCTCGGCTCAGCAGCAGCGCCAGCGCTGCACCAGAGGCGCCGAAGCCCAGAAACACCAAGCCAAACTCCCAGAAGCCGTCGCAGAAGAGGCTGCCCGACAGCCCCCCGTCCAGCGCCTCAAGAAAAAAACCGCTGGAAGCGGGAAGACGAGCTGGATTTTGACCAACCCGCGGGTTGGAAACCACGCCAGCTGGATGACCAACCCAGTGTTTGGCCTGGTAGAGGGGCTTGGAGATTCAAAGCCTGGCTGATGTCTGCGTTGGAGGGTGGCCACGCCGTAAACTGCATTAACATCTTCACGAAGCACCGCCAGCGATTGGAACCACTTGCAGCTGGCAACCAACCACAGTGCGAAACACTACGCAGGTCAAGCATCAAGTAAGCTCAACAAATATAGCGGCTACAGTGGAGGGTCCGTTTGTTCCAAACAAAGGCAAGCATCTCTGCTTCGATCAAGCTGCGAGGCATAATATGAAAAAAAGGGTTGCCATATGCAACTACGCAATGCCGATATCCAACTAACCATCCAACCCAACCAAGGACACCCCGCAAATGCAATGCACAAACTTGGTATGCATGTTCGCGTCGCGCTTCCCGGCGTGAAGACCCCACACAACCCCGAACACCAAACCCCAAAACCAACGGAACCAACCAAATCCCAAATCTCAAATCCCAAACCACCCAAACCGCAAACCAACCAAACGACCAAAATCAAGCAAACCAATCAAGCCACCCAACCCCCAACCCCCCAACTTCTAACTGGAAACCACCAAAATCACCCAAAAGATCCCAAAAGGAAACCACCAAACTCACCCAAACTGCAAACCACCCAACTCCCAACCCAACCAACCCCCCCCCCCCCCCGCACGAACCCACTCCCAGCCCCACCTCCAACAGTGCCAGGCACAGGGCAGCTCCAGCCAGCAGGGTCTCCAGCCAGAGGGTGCAGGTCTGCAGCAGCATGAAGTACCCGGTGACCAGCACCGTCCAAACGCTGAGGCCCAGAAACCCAGCCATGAACACCTCCGGGCGGTGTTGTTCAGTTCACCCCCTGCTTTTCTGGAAACCCTTTACCACTAAACATGGTCAGTTGTTTAAGTTCAGCCCGGTTTTTCTGGAAACCTTTTACCACTAAACATGGTTGCCAAATCAGAGAAACCGGACTGGTCAAAAGGTTTGGGGTGCGGATTTATTTTGGGATTTTTTTTCGTTTTTTTTCGGGAATTTTTTTCGTTTTTCGTCCGGGCCAGCAAAATATCGTATTTTACAGCATTTTCTCGCGAAATTGACGCATTTCACTAGCTCGTCAACATCCCCAGCATCGTTTTCAACATCCCCCGCATGTCCGATCAACATCCCTAGCATCACCAACAAATGGTGGGTAACAAAATCCAAAAATGTAGCTGGCGGGTTGACGGGGTCAAAACAATAATGCTGCAAACAGGAGGGCATTTCAATCCAAGCAAAAAAAATACAAAAAAACAATTAAGAAAAACAGAGCGGGGTAGTGATGATTCGAACAGGGGTGCAATTAAATCTCTGCAAAAAGTCTAAAAAGTAGCGGGGGGGTTGGGGGGGGCGGCAGCCCCCCCCATGATGTTCGAAGAATTTGTAGAGGGGGGGGCGGCAGCCCCCCCCACGATGTTGTTTGCAGAAGTGATGATTTGAATAGGGGTGCAATTAAATCTCTGCAAAAAGTCTAAAAAGTAGCGGGGGGGTTGGGGGGGGGGCGGCAGCCCCCCCCCATGATGTTCGAAGAATTGATGATTCAACTAGGGGTGCAATTAATTAAATCTCTGTAGAAAATCTAAACGTAGCGGGGGGGGTTGGGGGGGGGCGGCAGCCCCCCCATGATGTCGGAAGAAGTGGTGATTCAAGTAGGGTGCAATGATTCAAGAAAGGGTGTGATAGAATTTACAAGGCAGCGGGAGGGTTGGCGGGGGTGGCTTCCCCTATGATGTTCGAAGAAATGCATACATACAGACATACACGGACTACACAGATTACCTAAAATGTCGTATTTTGCAGCATTTTCTCGCGAAATTGGACGCTCGAAAAAGTGATGATTCAAACAGGGGTGCAATTCAATCTCTGCCGGGCCAGTAAAGTGTCGAATTTTACAGCATGTTCTCGCGAAATTGACGCATTTTACACTAGCCCGTCAACATCCCCCGCATGTCCCACCAACATCCCTAGCATCACCCACAAATCGTGTGACGGGGTCAAAGAAATGATGATTCAAGTAGGAGGGCATGTCAATCCCTGTAAAAAAATATAAAAAGTAGCGGGGGGGTTGGGGGGGGCGGCAGCCCCCCCCACGATGTTGTTTGCAGAAGTGATGATTTGAATAGGGGTGCAATTAAATCTCTGCAAAAAGTCTAAAAAGTAGCGGGGGGGTTGGGGGGGGCGGCAGCCCCCCCCCATGATGGTCGAAGAATTGATGATTCAACTAGGGGTGCAACCCCCCCATGATGTTCGAAGAATTGATGACTCAACTAGGGGTGCAACTGATTAAATCTCTGCAGAAAATCTAAAACGTAGCGGGGGGGTTGGGGGGGGCCGGCAGCCCCCCCCATGATGTCGGAAAAACGCCACCTGCCGAAGAGGAACTGGGAATGCAGAGGATGCGAAAAGCCAAAAAGCCACCAAAAGCCGCATAAACCAGCAATAAGCCGAAAAGCCTAGAAGCCCAGAAGCCGAGAAGCCAAGAAGCCGAAAAGCCAAGAAGCCAAGAAGCCAAGAAGCCAAGAAGCCAAGAAGCCCAGAAGCCGAGAAGCCGAGAAGCCAAGAAGCCAAGAAGCCGAAAAGCCAAGAAGCCAAGAAGCCGAGAAGCCAAGAAGCCAAGAAGCCAAGAAGCCAAGAAGCCAAGAAGCCAAGAAAAAAATTCCCAAAAAAAAACGAAAAAAATTCCTAAAATAAATACCCCTCCAAAGGTTTGGCCTCTGGGCAGGTCACTGGGGGAGAACTCGCAAGATCAGCCAGGAAGATAAATGTTTGACCACGAAGCTGGAGCCAGTACCTGCCAAAAAACCGTGAATCCCCCAAAGCGTCCATGCCGGGCTCGGGCTGAAACAAGGGAAACCTCTTGCGCGTTCAAATCGATGCAATACGGTTCATCTTTGAAGGGGGGCTTGCCTGCTTTCAGAATGCTTTGAAGAACAACAAAAGGGAACAAAGGGAACAGCAACTTTTTTTGGAGCACCCCCCCCCCCAAAAAAAAAAAAAAAACATATGTTTCTTGCAACTGCCATAAAGCTCATGCAATGAGTTTAAGAACTGGGCTAGACATACATGGATTGTGGGTGGGGTCAGTTCTGGGCTTTGGGATCTAACTTCTGGGTAAAGCGTGGGCCGTCAATCAAACTCAAAGTTGCCTTTCTTTCATTTAGAAAGCATGAACGCATGGCGGGCGTAACTAGCTGTGCAACATTTGCAGCTGTAACTGTAACTGTTCCATTCTTTTCCGAGCGCCGTGGTTTTCAGGCACCAAGCCATACAACCCGCAGGGGTTGGTAATGAACAGCCTGCACCGGTGCTGATGAGCCCCACTGAACACGACACACGTTGGCCAGCTCGTTGAAAAGAGGGATCCAGAAACAACACGTACCGCTTTTTATACAGCTTGAAATCTGCTGGTTCGCAGCAAGTTCGTCCTGCGCAATGTCTAACAATGTGTTTCAGCATGTCAACGCGACGTACAGACCCACAAACACCTAATGTGTGGGAACAAGCACTTACCAACAAAATAGAATACCTCCCTCCTTGCCACAAACATGGCACCTGACAAAGGGTCCCTTGCAGGCACACCCTCCCACAAATGCTACGTTCGCGGAAGCAATCATAAATGCTTCAACTCTGCCTTTAACTCTTGGACAAGGGGTCCAAGGCACTGCACGCTCCTGCTTGTTGCCGGCTGTGCCCAGCCAGCCGCGGAGCCCTTGTATGGGCACGTGCAGCAACATCAGCACAAACCTCGGAGCCCGTGAGCACAAGGCTGCTTCAACCTGAAGCTGGCTAAGTCACTTGAGCGCAGTGTTCACAAATCCCGAAACAGCCTGTAACACAAAGCGACATCCTTTTCACTGCAAATGTAGATGGGCCACTCCCAATCGAACAGACTAGCACCGGGCAAGGCAGGTCGGCAATCTGAGCCGTGTAGATTGATAACATGGATCCAAAAGAGTTGGACTCCAATATCAAGTTGCCTTCCTTTGGGCTTCCTTATGGGAAGCCGAAACTGGCTCCGACTTGGCACATACCCATGTGAAGTTCCGTCAAAATTTGTTGTTCACAGTAAGTACGTTCGAATTTAGAGAGTCCCCTATGGTTTTCCAGCGTTTGGTCTGCAACACAAAGGTATCCTGTTTCTGAGAGTTCCCAATCGTTTTCCGTGGTTTCAAGCACCTTGGGCTATATGGATGTCCAAGAAAGAAAAGAGAGGAAAAGACATAGGGCCTCCTGGCCAATGAGTCAAGAGGCTCCCCTAGCGCAACTCCTGGTGGGTAGCGGTGGAAGTAAGGCTTCACCATCAGCAGCAAGAGCACCACCAGGGCCAGTACAGGCGTCAGGCATCCCTCCAAGTACCTAGCTCATCTCCCTTCTGGCGGTGGATGAACGAAATCCATTTCGCACCACCTGGAATGATGATTCCCCTGTAAATACCAATGAACAATGGTCTCCCATGGTTTACAAGTGGTGCAGGATTTCGTCCATCCACAGTATCGCTGCATTGTTGTCTGCTATCTCCACAAGTTGGGCAAAATGGAGGATCTGGCAATCCCCGTCCATCTTTTCAAGTGTTTCCCACCTCGCTGCGGGGCTGCATGTGTTAACCACTTGGAAGGAGGCCTCATCGAGGACACTTCTGGCTTCGTTGCTGGGCCACAGGAGGCCCGGTCTAAGGGCCATCTGGGTATTCTCGCGCAAACCGCCGCATGGGTCCACAAGTCTGTTGGGCATCCTGGTACGGCTGCCCAACCGTGCATTCCAAAAGGCTCCACAAGAGCAACACGCTGATCCCAGGAATGGATGAAACTTCTTGTTGGTAATCCTCCAATGGTCGTTTCTGTCTACCAGCAGTCGCTTCGACTTAAAGCCTGTGGTGATTTGGGGTAGGTTCATCTCCTCTCGGTGGGCGAGATCCGATGCATGAATGACGCCAACACAGGGAAATCAATGTTCGGAGAATACCCCAAGTGCCAATTGCAGATCAGGCGCAGCAGCACTTGCAAGCGCAAGGAGGAGCGCGGAAATGCGGGGCCCGCCAAATTCTCCATTGCAAGCACATTAATTTGGCGAATCAAGGCAAAAAGGCGTGTGAAAAGTCGGGACGTTTGAGTGTCACCTTGGATGGAACGTCTAAGGGCAACATCCGCCTGAACCAAACATTGAATTGAATTGTCCATGTCCTCAGGTCGTCTGTGCCTGTTCAATGGGGTACGCCAAGCAGGCACAAGCGTCTTCTGGTTGCATCGGAGAGGTAAAACACTTGCAAACATATTCACACGCTCCTGTCTCTTCCATTGATGATTTTTCCTTACAGCCAACCCTAGCCTCATAGCTGTGTTGCATGTGGCCTTCTAAATGGCTGCATTCAGGGCTTCGCCGTACCATGAAAACTGCGCAACAACAATTTTCAGCTTGCCACTTTCAGAGAATTCTCAAGTTTAGGAAGGCCAACGTCCTCGGTGCTCTGGGCTGCTATGCTCCGTCTCAACAAGAACGCGGAGACTTGCAGCAAATCTTTGCGGCAACAATCGCGTGGTAGGTGCGAGGTGCCTGGTCGCTCTCAGACCACAGTCACAAGGCAATGGCTGTTCCCACAACTCGTAGCAACCCAAACCAGGGTCGCCCCCGTGGTTTTCCTTGCTCATCCGCAACAGCCCAACAAATTGCAACCCGCAGCTGGGAACCGAGGCCCGAACAATACAAATCCTTAGCGATGTCATAGCTCACCTCGAAGTCAACGATGAAAAACTGCCAGGGCGCGCTGGCTCGGGGAAAGGCCATGGCAGGCCATGTGCGTGTGTGTGTGTGTGTGGATCGAAGGAGGCTTCTCTAGCAACTGGCAGGCAAAAAACTTAAGGACATACATGGTTCTTGACCCTTTAGCGATACCAGCAAATGGGATAACGCAGTATCGACTCAGGTTCCTGACCAAGGAGAGATAAAGTGCCGAGATGCTGCATTTACAAGCTACCGAGCAGGACTACTCTTCAGAAAACATGCACGGGCGGGAATCACACTGACTTCGTGGCTGTTGCGTCGTGCCTGCATCAAAACGCGCGCATCGCGCTGGAATGATCAAGCACATGTTCAACCTCCGGCAACAAACGTATGTTGAGGGTAGGTTGGGGTGCAAGTAAGACGTCTTGGAGTTGCGCCTTGCACTCAGCCCTTCCGAGTCTGAGCTGAGGCTCACTAACAGGCCAGCTACACCAAAACATTGGCCAGTGGTTGAAGAACCCGAATCACCATATGTGCCTACACTGCCCATTGTGCATTGAACGGGTCGGATCCCTGCACCACTGTTTCTTCGCCTCCTTCCAAAAAATTATAGCGGCCCCATCTGTCCAAAAAGTTGCGCGATGTCGATGCCGCCCTCCCAGCCCTCCAACGACACCATGCGAAGGGACCTTCCCAGCAGGCGGCTGAATGTGTCGCAAAGGGAAGAAGGAGTTCACCTCAGCAAGCACGGAACAAGAAGTAGGACGCTCAGCTCTCATCATCGCTTACTGATATATTATATGTCATGTGTAAGTCACTCGCGAGCATGAGGGATACCTGAGAATACACCTCCGTGGGGAGTTTGTTTGACAGCGCAAACGTAAAGAGACTTCAAAAAGACCACATACACAAAAACCAACAGGGCGAAAGCTTCCAGGGATATCCAAACTTTTTGCTTGGAGACCACCCGAACTCGGTCTCCCTCTCGGAAGTTCAGGGGCTCTAAAATGAAGGCTTTTCTTAGACAAATTCTGGGTGAGTGCCCCGTGTTGACCCCAAAGAACAAAGCACAGCCAGATTTAGTTCAGGGGGTCCAGGATGGCTAGTGAAGTTTTCTTGCCACTACGCCTCCTTTCAGGTAAATTGGTTCCTGGCCCCGACGTTTACAACAACAAAGCTTGTTGCATTGGAAACGTTGAGCTGCTAAGAATTGTTCAGGTTTCCAGTCAAAACTGTATCTCAATCCTCTGGCTCACGTTGCCTTTGGTCATGCAAAAATATCCTGTGACAGTCTCTAGGAAGCAAGGAACACACCACAATTGCCCATGAAATTTGTAGTTGGGTTGGAAGCAAATCCACCCCATCTGATCGAATTGATGATAGGGGAGTGTCCCGCCTCCCACATCTTTCCGCAGCCATCTCCACATCTCTCTGAGTGACTAAGTAGCAGCATCTGCGCGTGATAGCGCGCGCCTCCCCGCGCGCGTCATGGGCCTGCCGTTTGATCGCAGGTTGGAAGGCTGCGTAGGGAAATGGTCATTCCCAAAGATGAAAGATCAACGAAAGATCATACCTGTTGGCATTGTGATCATCACAAAGATCAATCACAAAGTTGAAAGTGGTTCCCAAAGATGAAAGATGACAAGAAAGGGCAACCAAATACTGTTGAAGGTCAACCTGCCCGATGTGACACAAGTTCTGGGCCTCTGAAAAAAGAACTCTACAAACACGAGCTTGCACTTGGGGAGAAGTGCGCCGCCTGCGCAAACAATCTGAGACCCTTCTGGACTGACCAGATGTAACATCACTGCACTCCTATTACATGGAAGCCCTCAGGTAGCAAGTTCTACCCATAGCCAGGTGCCCACTCCACTTTCAACCTCATTGCCAGTAGACTGCCCCGAACCTACTGAAAAGTGCTGGTGGGTTTGCGGGGGATGACACAATTGCCTGCTCATCGATGCGAAATCCATCTTCATCTGCGAGGACGAAAGCGGTGGCCAGTGATGTGGCATGCAAGCTTTCCCATGCATCCTGGTGTTGAAGGGCGAGTGGGCGAAAGCCTCAACAAGCAACACGTCTCACAGGCGATCGGGACAAACCCTTAGCAAATACCCTAAAGAGGGTGACTGCAACAGAATCCTCAAACAACCAACACGTCTTAGCGCCGATTCTTTGGGGCATGTTTCCAGGTACCGAGCCATTTGGCACCAAGGGCGCCGGCCCGGAAGCCAACCGAAGTGAGGTTACCAGCTCGGAGGCCTGCAGGATGAGGACCAACACCTCATCTGGAACGCCCAAAGAGAGCATGGCGACCTCAAGCGGCCGACGCGGTTTCGTCTTGACAAGGAGGTCTTAGTGACCTGGTGCGAGGGGGGCTGGAACCAAATCAAACAATACCCATCTCCTTTTAGGTTCCAGCAGTTGACAAAGATTTGGGCGATTTAGCACCCAGCAAACCGGCAAACTTAGATAGCACCATATGGGTCAACACAGAAAACACTTGCAACGCAACTGCCAGAAGTCCAAATCCTTGGTTCATGAGGCTTGCAAGTGCTCATGTTGGCTTATCCAAGATCAGCAGCGAGGGTTCCGAGGGCTCAAGAGCTATGCACGCTATGGAAACCGGATTGAGCTGCCCCATTCTTCTACCAGTATCAAAGTCACCCTTCCAAGTGGTGGGTTTGAGGGAACCACAAACCAGTTCTGACTTTGACCCCCAGAAATGGCAAACGTAACGGCTTTAGGGACAACACTATCCAGTTGCGTTGTTGCCTGCTTGGCTGTATCGCCCAGAAGGCGCTCTTCGCAGGCAAAGTTTTCTTTTCTCCCTGGCGCAATCTCAAGGCGGACGACTCACATCCAGCAAAACGCCCCCAAGAGATCGAAGAGGACACCGTGCTTGGCGCCATCAAAACCTAGCTGATTAATTAAACCTGTTTTTGGACAGCGACCGCCGGGCAAAATCTCTTCTTTGTACAGTGCAGTGAGAGCGATGTGCCAGGGTGGCTCAAGACTACAAACTTGATTACACAATCGGCCCCCTTCAAGAACGCAGCATCTTCAAAGAGCTCTTCAGCGAGCCACTCTCCATATTCAAATCTTTTCAAAGACATTTAGCCACTCTCCCTGCCAAAGTGGCTGCTCATGCTACCAGAGCCAAATGCCCGGTGGCTGCATCAACTCGCGCCCGCAACTCGTCGGCTGGTGAGCTCGGTGAGCAGCTTGCTGCATAGGTTCATCAATACGTGCACCCTACTCTTAAATATATGTCCAGACCCCAGCTCTACCAATGCCAAACTAGAATTGGACAATGCTACACCAACTCTAGACCAGCAAATTTAGGCCGACCGCAGAGACATGATCGGCCAACCTTGGCAGCCTCCTCTGTGAGGTGGCTGCAAAAAAGAGTGACGCTAGCTTGCAGCGGGAACTTGAAGATGCATCTCGATTCTGTCTTCTAGCAAACTTGAGGCAAGAGCTGCCTCTTGCTTTCAAAACCCTGGTTGACAGTTGAATCAAACTGGGATTCGTGTTGATTCTGCTCCACGTATGCAACTTCATAATTTCGACTCACCGCAACGCATTGCCAGTGCTCTCATAAGAAAAACAAACCAAGAAAACATCAGTCAGTTTCAAGAAAGCAGCAACTTAGTAGGCAACTTAGGCTTGCAACGTGTTTGGTGGTGTAAAGGGACCACCCCAAGAAATATTCAGAACCTCCCAAAATGCTCACTCAAGGGACACTGCCAGCTGCACGCCAAAGGCAGAAACACTTGCCGCGGCTCCAGTGCGGGATTGACACAGCCCCCAGAGGCGCACAAAGCTGTGACCGCATCGCCATCTGCCGCACAAGCGATACTTATTCAGACCCCGGAACTTCGATAGCGCACTTCAGCACGTTCCCTTCACTTGGATCCTTTTGAACGACATGCCGTTGATTTTGACCTCTTGGCTAAGCCCGCCTCCTGTCAGGCAGAAGCAGACACGGTGTACAAATAGATGCTTCTCAAGTGGTGGCTTTGCAAAAGAATGCACATCTGCACAAAGCGACGAGTTTCTGTGCAAGCCGAGTGTCGTTCGGAGCAGTCGGCACTTCGTGAGACCACTGGAGTGCCGCTTGCAACGCTGCCTGAGGATTGTCGCACACCTCTCAACACCCCTCCCTGCAACTACAAGTCGATGACAACTTCGAGCAGAACCCGAAAGAGTGACGCAGTGAGCTGTTCCGAACCTTTCTCATACCGTCGCTTCACACTGTCCGCCCCGTGTTGCGAAGTCCGACGTCCAATCCCCACATGCTGGTCCATTCACGAGCAAAAGGACAGCTTGGGATGGAAACCACACACTTTGATTCGGTGTTTTACTTTGAGCGATTCCTATGTTCAAAGCGGTGTGGTTTGAGCAACCTATTTGATTTCCCCCTGTCGCGGCTGGCAGGCCACCTTGGGGACGAGGGCCCCTCATCCAGGTGGACACCTCAATATCAACCAGCCAAGCAAAGAACTGCAGGTCGACTTATCCAAAATTGAGCCAGGTGTCCACCTTTTTTGCTCAGCATGTTTTTTGTTGTGCGAGAAAACCCCTAAGCAAACAAACCAACACAATCTTGTGGTCAGTTTCAATGTCCCCCTCTGCCTCCAGGACTGGCCAAAGCACGTGAAACAAGCCTCCGGGCCTTTTGCAAAGTGAGAAACTACTGGATTGGAAAACAAGCTGCTTACCAACTCCACCAATGTGCAACAGCGAAATCCCCTTGATGCGGATAAAGGGCAGTACTAAACCCAAAGTGGCGAATTCTGCCATCTTCTTTCCCCCAACTGTAAGTCTTTCTGCAAAGCAGGAAACATGGAACAATAGGTATAGAAAAAACAAACAAAACCTAGGATAATTGCAGCCAAAATGGAACCATGATAATGTGGACCCCATAATAATCAACCCCAGTGTATTGGGGGGGGTGTTGTGTTCCTGCATTTCGTGGGGAAGTCAGACCACTTTGGAGGGGCCCCCCACCCCCTTTTTGATAAGCTGAAAAAAAGCACTGGGGTTGATCACTATGGGGTCAACAATACTCCATTCACAAAATGTAGCCCAGGTTTAAACCAGCGCCGGTTGCCCTGAAAACCGGAGCCAAGGCCGCGACGCTCCAAGACGGAGGTCACGGCTAAGCAGGTGGCTTTTGTCCAGTGCGCTCTCCGGCCTTGCAGCATCTTGCAGCCAAGTGCTCAGTCCAGCTGTTTGAGAAAAACATTGCGGAAAGTTGAGGCGCCATGTTTCGAATTCTAAGATGTCTCCATTTGGGTGAACAACAAAAACGGCTGGACGAAGCCCTATAAATAGTGGCAACCATTACTTACTGGTGCAGGATTTCGTCCACCCACAGGTGTTGAGTACCCCTTGCAGATTGACATAGAACCCAGCAAGCCATACTGAGCAGCTTGCTTCGCGCATAGTCCTTTTGACCCTCGGGGATCCCAGAACTGCTCTTGAAAAATAATCCCAAGGGAACACAATTGGATCTAGCCCAAATCAGGCGACGCTGAAACCCACAACGGTCCAAAGGCTACCCCGGCTACCCCAGATTCCGTTCAACAGGGTGGGCCTTGCCGCAGCCGAGGCCAAGAGGAAGTAGCGTTTCAGAAGTCTTGAGGTTACTTTGTGGGCAACTCGCCAGTGATTCTCTTGGCAGGGAATGGATGGTTCTCAAGGCCTGTCAGAATCATGATCTGGCATTGCTTGGCATGCACAAGTTGATGCTGGCTAGCCACCTGCAAAAGACCCAGTGGATGGTTGGTGGTAGATTTCCTGATCTGCGCTCCCAGACCCGCCTTGTAACACATGGGGCTCCCAATGACAGGCCGCTCACAACCCGATGTCTCGTGGGAAACCCCAGTGATCAAGAAGCTCGGCATAGAGGTCCACCCCCCCCCAAACCCCAATGGGCGGTACTGCATTAGCCAAAAGGCTGCGGGCCCCAAATGTAAAAAACACCCAGCGCATCATCGCGTGACAAGCGCATCCAAGTGGCTGGCTATTGCAGTTGTGGCAGTTGAGAAATTTTGGCCGTGGCGAAGATTTGAGGCTTGAGGACGTACAAAGCGGCTGCATGCACGCACACACTCTGCTTCCTCGGGGTGCTAAAGATCAGCAACAGCTTCTCAAGCGAATGAAGCCCAAGACCCTGCTGCGGTTGAAAATGCAGCAGGCCACCGCTTGACAAGCATTCTTGCACGAGGCATGGTTTCATCAGGATGGAAAAACAAGTAAATGACATTCAAAAACACATACATCAATTGCACGAGCCTTGCTGTTGTTGGTATTGTTGTTTGGGTGGTAGTTCGGCAGCTTCGGGATTCTACAAAAACACGCACGCTTGCACAAATGCCTCTGAACAGTTCAGGCGCGTCAAGAGGGAGAGTGCAAAATTATCTCGTCGCATGCTTGGAAGTTGAACAGGCCGGCCTGGGGTACATTGCATATCGGCTGCTCGTTTCTTCTCTCTGGGGCAATCTCAAGGCGCTGGACGACTGACATCCAGCGGGGCCTGGCGCAATCAGCCAAGAGGCACAAAGCTAAGTCGAATAGGGCGCCTCGGTGAGGCTTGATTTGGTTGCGCTTGGCGCCATGAAGACCTACTAGCAGCTTCCCGGGATCTATGATACCCCCGTTTGACGGACGGCGACCCACGGTTGCAACATCTCTCTCCTGTACAATGAGAGGATTGTGTGGGATGGCTCAGTGGCTCAGCCACTTCCGAACTCTCCGTCTTGAAATCGCTTCAGGCTGAGCCACTCTCGCCACGGCTCATGCCAGAACCAAGCGCCCGGCATCCACTCGCACTCGCAACTCGTCACCTGAGCAAGGTGATCTGCCTGCTTGGTTCACAAGCATATCACCAGCTTTGGGGGAGGGCCGAGTTGCATCTACCATCACCTACTGCACTCGACATGGGCATCACGCATTCGGCGCATGAAAGCGGATGAGTTTGCAAAGACTTCCGAGGCCAGAACCCCCTGTATTAAGTGAACATGTGCTCTGTCGGGCTTGACTCCTAATATCCATAGCGCGGTGCATTGCATGCGGGGCCACCCGAGATTGTGTGCGTGCTTGCTCTGACTGCAGCTCTTGATGGGGTCTGCACAATTTCTTTCAAGGTTGGCGAGAAAGCAGCGGGCAGGAAGCGATCAAGGTCAAGGCTTTGAGGGGACCCAAGCTGACAAACACCGAATTGCTCACATGCTGTCGCCATTTTGTGGACTGTCCACTCCTCGCTTTTGAGAACTGTGTTCTCCCCCATGGTTTTTTGGTGAATGCGCGTTTTATTCATATCAAGGTTGCAGATCCCGGAGCCATTTCCTATTTATCCTCCACAAGAACCAGGAGCTCCTTACCCTCCAAACCACCTACGGGACACCTAAACGGGTGTCCATCGCGCAAATGTCCGACTCGGTTGCGGCCAGGCCTGGCTGCTTGCCGTGGGGCAAGGTGATGTTGAGCTGCCGCCCATCGGGCACCACGACCTATTGTCTTTCCATAGGCCTTTGTCGTTTGGGACAAAGCCATGCCCAGGCATGCCTGCAATCCCAATCCAGCAACCCTCCCAACAAACTGAAAGGGAGACTCCGGGCGAACTGGGCAGTTTGTCGGATCAGGAAGCCTGAATAGGAGCAACCCTGGCCGTTCCTGAAAATGGCAGCTCAATGGCTGCTTGACTGCGCTCCTGTAACAATTGAACCATGGGCCAAACTACCATCCGACGCAAATGGTGCCAAGGGAGCCTGAACTGAGAAGCGTTTGGTGAGTGAGCCTTGGTGGATCCAGCTAGACAGGTGGAACGTCTGCATTCTTGCTATTGGGCTTGCCAGCAAAAAGTTCCCCATTCTCCAAAGCTGTTGTAATGCCAGGAGATGCCAGGAGTCAGTCCTGAAGTACGATCCCACCATAGTATTTTATTCTTCTTTCAGATCAAGGGCTTATTTTAGCTGGTTTTGGACTGAGACGAGCGGACCCTGCTCAGCCCTGCACGACACAGGTCTCACTTTTTAGGAATGTCCAAAGGCTTGCTCAATCTCATTTCCTGGCAGGGCTCCATCCCCGTTGCATCCGACAATGGGCGCTGAGCACTTGTCAACTTCACACTGGTGTGGCCCGGGGTGGACATATATATTGGCTTGCTTTGAAACAAAACAAAGCTGATCCAACAGAATGCCCATTTCTGTGTGCACACTTGAGATCACACTCGTGTCGCGAGACTTTGCGCTCGTGATGCGGGTATCTCTGTGCACGCATGGACCACACATAATTCCCCAACCCCCCACGGTATCATTCCAGCTTTGTGGATGTCTCACCCGCTCAGGATGGACTTTGTGTCCAAATGACACCCCTGAAGCAACTCGGGGTGTGGCACGACCCCCGGGTTCCGCCCATACCAAGCCCCGATCAGACCCGGGCCCCACCTGCAACTCCTGTCCGGGTACAATGCCCATGGGCACTTGGATGGCGAAGATCTCTGGGGTGCCTAACGCTGCCGTCAAAAGAAAACGTTTTGAAGGGACCAGTTTGACAACCCAAAGGAAACTTGTATACTGTGTAGGTGCTGACAAACCCTTCCTCCCATGGCACCTCACAAACAGTCCATTGAAGATGAATTTGACCCAGATACGTTTCACAGGTGCCATGTTAGTCGGGGGAAGGATACCCCCGAAAGGAAACCTGCTATGGGGTGCCCACAATTCCTTTCCAATGCGAACAGGACGTTGATCTGTGGGCCAAAGCGGGCTGTTAGGACAAAGTCACCTCGATAGCACCGCTCAGGGGAAGAACAAAACAACAACTGCAAGTGATAAAGTATCTCCGTCACTTGGGCAATTCACGCAGGTGGAACTGAAGAATCCTCAACCAGCAGAATCTAGCAGTATATTTTGAAGCACTCATATAAGTGCTGCACTTTCAGATGAGTGCTACAACCAGCAAGACTCCTCAGCCAGCTGCATAATCTTTGAAGCACTCATCTGAAAATGAACGCCTTGGGCCATGACAGCTCCTTGGACAGGATTGGAAGAAGTCCCCGCCTGCCGGGTCTTGGGGAGCCGGAGCCGGCTGCTGTCCCGCAAGGCTGAGCTGGGCGGAGCTGGGGTCATAGACCTTGGTGCTATGGTCGGCCGAGTGGCTAGCCACTTGGGGTACAACCTTTTTACAAGGAGCTAATCCCACTTGGGGGAACTCAAGAATGAACATGTTTTAACCTAGGGCCACTTCTTTAACTGAACGAATTTTTGGGGCGTCCATGTCCTCAGCTACCAACAGCTTCTTACCTTGGCCGACCCAATGGGCCATCCCCAAGGCTGCGGTCAAAACCGTCAGGGTGAGTTGTTTGGTCCGTCTCAGTAAACCGAAGGCTTAGAACATATGTTCACTTTGGGAAGACGACCTTTTCACATCATTCTCGGCAACAGCTCAAATCAGTAAAGTTGGGGTCCTGTAACATCATGGTGCTCGAATCTTGAGAAGCTGGCTTTCATTCTCCGTTCAAGCTGCCCGTGGAAAGATCAATTTCTCTTTGGCAGCTAAGCACTCTTGACGGTCCATATTACTGCCGGCCAGCCACACACGCCGGGTTGGTCAATGAATCCATCATTGCCGGAATGCCTCTTGCAAAACACCACAAGGCACCACGGCACCACGCCTGGAGAACCAAAAGCCAGTAAAAACTTGACCCACGGGGCAAGTCTAGTTCTCCAAGAAACTGTAGAGTTCTTGATAGCGACGGCCAAGGGCTTCATATGATTGAATACTGGCACTGGCAATCACAATCGCATCCGCTGATGAGATGTCACTCGCGCTTTCTGTCAGCCATGTTGATTCAGAGGGGATCGCTGCCAAGGGGCTACCTGGATCTCTTTTGCTGCCCCTGGCGGCACTGTGATGGTGAGCTCTCGGCCGTCCGGAAGCTTCACGGCAACAGCCTGTCCTGTGAAACCGTGGGCTGAGGGCAGGGAACCCACAGTTGCCGGTGGTATGTTCTCCACAAAGAGCATTCCTTTAACGCACAATAGTCAACGCACACATGGGAGGGGAGCTGCAACCACTGAAACCATCCCCCTGGCCAAGCTCCAAGCTCCCGCATTCCCGACTGGGCCCCTAGGTGCGGGTAGCTGCAGCCCAAATGCGCCGACGGTCTACCAGCTTTTGATGACCCGATCTATACATTGGAACATGCCTGCCAACCTCTAAGGAGCCAACTTGTGCTCCATGGGCCCGTGGAGTGTCCTGCCACCACCCCGTCGGGCACGGAGATGCTCAGCAGGACTTGCTGCTGCACCGGTGGCACCGGTGGCACCTGTGGCACCGGTGGCACCTGTGGCACCGGTGGCACCGGCGCCGGGTGCTGCGATGCTGGCGGCGCCATCGGCGCCGCCGCCGCCGGCGCCACATACCCCGCAGCGGCATCGGGTTGCACGAAGTGCGCCGGCTGCACGGTCTGAGCGTTGTGGAAGAGGAAGCTGTTCATTTCCTCAGCTTGGCTCGCAGTCTCATTCGTGTCGGTTCTTAACATATCAATCCAATAATCTTCCGAGAGGCTAGCGTTTTGCAAGCCTTGTGTTTCTGTTTCTTACTGGCAAGACTTGGACAAAGACTCGGAAGAACCCATGTTTGTTCCACCCCTAGACTCTCCGGCCGGTTGCTTCTCCTTCATCATTCAGAAGGGCCAATGTTCACCGTGTTCAATCATGGCTTCGTCTGGGCTTTGCACAAGCCGCCAAATGCAGACAATGCAGATCAGTTTTTTCAAGATCACCTTCATGTTCGGGGACTTTCCCACGTCACTCCAACAACACGCCTACGCGAAAAGTGGCAGCTCACTTGACAATTTGAAGTTGCAGCGCCCCTTCCCAGTGTTGTTGCAATGAGGCGCTGGCATCTTGAGATGTCTGCTAGCGAGGCGCCGAGCTGCGAAAGAAACAGCAATTGTGACAAAAGGAAGCCAACTCACCCGCCATGGCAAACTTCCAAGCCACGAGCCTAGCTTGCTGGTGTGACTTAGGACCTTGCGAGGGCCTGCTTTCTCCCAAATGCAGAAAGCCAAATTCCCTCAAGCAGAAATCAGTCTCCTTTCAAAGCCTTTTGACCAGCAGCCACCGCCCACGGAAAAACATGGTTTGTTTGCAAACAGCCACGTGTAACAAGATCTTTCTTAAATCCACAAGTAAGCAACGAGTCGTTTCTATCCAAGCGTCGTTTTGCAAGGCATTCGGCACCCCATAGTGCGAGAAGCGGAGTGACACATAAGAGAGCCAGGCCTGCCGAGCACCGCGTGGCTTGCAAACTGCGCTGACTGCATTGTCGCACACCTCTCAACATCCCTCCGGTTGATGTCCTGCCCTTTCCAACTACACTATGGTGTACTTTCACACAGTTCCCTTTGTGTGCGTGTGAACTGCCCTAACTGTAGCATGGACCCCAAAAAACCCATCCAGTCAACGTAATGGACCCCCAAAACCCATCCAGTCCAAGAAAAATGAGCCCATCCAGTCAGGAAAATTGCAGGGAAAACAACCTTCAATTCCCCATCCAGTTAGGGAAACAAGAACTAAAAAAAAATATCGACATCAACAACAATCCAGTTCAGGAAACCCTCAATATCCCCCCACACCCAAAAAAACACAAAGGTTCAGGAACTGGACCTTGAAGAAGACCCCCAAAAAAAACAAATCCTGCACCTTCATTTGAACACGTATTTTTGCTCCATGTGGTTTGTCACACCTTTTCTGGCTGACTGAACAAATATGGGCTGCTTGGGCCCAACAAAACCCCTTCCGTGAGTTTCACGCAGCACGGCACGGTCACTCGGATCCTCAAGGCCGGCACGGCGCTGCTCCAGGCGGTGGCCCGAGCAGTCGGACCAGAGCTTGGGGGGGAAGGGGTAGCGCACCCGGGCCTCGAACCGACCCAAACCTCTGAGTGGTGGTAGTAATGTTCATGGTCATAATGTATCATAACATGTCATCATGTATATATGTCATCATATGTCATGTCGTCATATATCATCATATATCATCATGTATCATCAGAAATCATCATATATCGTCATGTTTGATCGCGGCGCAGCAAATGGCTCAACTGCCTGCCGAGTACCCTGGACCTAGTTGGATACATTGTGACATGGCTCAAGGACGTTTCCACATCCGTAAAAAAATCTTGTGAGCCATGCACCTCATTCGCCTTCATCAAGCGATCATGCACTACCTGGACTGCACACTTCCTTGTCGTGGCCGGCCTTCCTCTTGGGCTTTGGCTTGGCTCTCCTTTTTGTTTTCCACCCATTCCGCCTCATCATCTGTGGCTAGATTGAACCTCTCAGTCATCTCCGCATCCGCATCAAACCCCTCCAAGACTTCAGCAGCTTATTTCGCCACCCGAGGTAGTTGTGCAGCTTCACAAGCCAACCGTGTTGGCGATGTCCGCGACCGCTGGAACTCCGCGTCTGGAACCGCCGGCCTCACGCCCTTTGGCTCCGTGCTGGACCGGCATTCTTGGCGTTCTCCACTGACGCCATGTAGGCAGATTCTGCTCCTCCGTCGGCCATCAGCCCTCATTGCGCTACTCCACCAGCGCATCAGGCATCAGCTCAACCTCGTCATTCTTTAGCACCTTTCAATATGTCTGGATCACCGTCTCCAGCACCTGGCCTGGACCTGGATTGCTTGCGTGTTCCGGGAATTTTGGTCAGCGGCACCTTCACCTTTGCCTGTGACATGCTCTGGCTCAGCATTCGCCTGAAGTTACCCTTGTTGCTGGCAAGGCCCTCGACGTACTTCTCGAAGAAGGCCTTGATCTCTTCCTCCGTGAAGCCTCCGGTCGTCACCTTCACCATCGCACCCACCGGAGCAACGGCTATAGGACCGCACGTGGCCCTCTCCGTGAGCGATTGTTGTATTCCTTAAGACTACCAGCCTGAAGCTTCTGTTTCCCTTCCTTTTCTTGCCACCGGGTTTCCCGCAAGTTCAGTTCCTTGCGGCCTCCAGCTAGCAGCACCTCCGTTTCCCGGTTGTTATCTGCTTTGGGCTGCGCGCAAAAAAGAATCCACGACGCCTCTAGGTCTTCCACCTCATCGCATGCCAGGCGCCCTGAAAACGCAGTGGCCTGTTTTGTGCAATCAATACACCCTGCTCCTTGCCGTGTTTGACCTGCAATCTGCTGCCCTTCCAACCGAGCTCCTTTTCACCCGTCGCTTGATCCCTTCGCCCAATGGGAATGCCAACGCATCTAACCCGGTACTCCCATGACTGAATGCTGCAACTGTCTGATGAAATCGCGGCCTATCGTCTGCCTGTCGACCTGCCACCAGATCCGGACACCAACTCCAACCTCCAAGACTGTCGATAAAGTCTCCAGCTGCTCATGTACCCAACGGTACTCTAGTCACCCTGTCCGGCTCCAGCTCCGAGAGGGGGGGCCGGACAGCCTCCACGAGGTTGGTACAGCGCATGCCACGGCACCTCATGGATACGGCATCCACACGTCCTTCAGCTCCGTGTTGCGGTCGTCCACCAGATTTTTCGCTCTGCTCCTCCGTGTGCTCCTCTGAAGAATGGGACGTGCATGGTTCATCCAAAGGAGCTCCATCTTGCCATATCGATCTCCGAGGTGGCATGCTGAGACCATGTCACGAACACATAGTTCACGTTGCTGATGGACAGGGGCAAAGACACCTCGGCCATCAAGCGCTAGCGCTTCAGCGGGGACGGCAACGATGGGAGCAGCAAGGCGTACCGTCGGTGGCGGCGCTGGAGCAGGGCGTACCTCACGGTACAAGGCTGGAAGAGCAAACGGGTGAAGAGGTGATCTACAAGGTGCTGGATCAACGATACCTCGAGGAGGAGGCGTACGACCGCATAGGGGGGGTCATGGACACCGTCTGTGGCCTGAAGGTGGGCCGCGGGGAGATGACGGCGAACTTCACGGGCAAGGTGAGGGCGGCATTCGCGGAGGCGGAGGGGATCTCCTTCCCGACAGTGGCGCGGGGCTACATGCTGCTCAGGTTTGCGAAGGTCCACCCGGAGAAGAAGAGCAGTGATACTGGCGGCAGCCAGGCAGAGCTATGAGGGGCGAGATGTGGCGGCGGCTCTCCAGACTACATATCCGGAAGGACTCAGCGGGGGAACATGTCGGGGTGTGCGCGAGGTGGAGGCCGAGCCGGCGCCGATGGAGGACCGATGACGGGGCCACGCAGGCAGTGCTGGCAGCGGAGAGGAGCCGGTGGAGGAGCAGGACGCCATCGAGGTGTTGCTGTTGTGGAAGCAGACCAGGGCATCTGAGAGCATCTCGCGCTTCCGCCTGGGGCCGAAGCCAGATGTGAAGAAGCTTGAGGCGAGAGTTCGGTGCTTTCGCTGCAAGGACCGGGCGGAGCGCCCGAAGAAGATCGCAGAGCGGGCCGGGAAGGCCGGGTACCCTGGGGCTAGCGCCCTTTTCCTACTCAAGTTGACAAGTCCCTTGATCCGGCAAACGCATACACACGCATGGCTCAGGACGTTTCCACAGTCATGTATCATCATATCATCGCTTTGCTGCAATCATCCAAGATCTAGTCACACCTGTGCACTCAGACACCCCCCGGTCCAATTCATCGGCTGCCGCCACCGGAAAGTTGGTGTGGCTGCGGCTTTCATCAACGGATTTTGCTGGGACGTTCATCAACGGAGTTCGCTGGGCTGAATAGTTCTCACGCCGACCGTTCCTCCCACAACTTGCCCGAAGTCGCATGCCGGTTGGTTTTGCAAACGGCTGCCCCAATCCAATGTATGTATCATCATATAGCATCAGATCATCATCTACCATGATGTATTGTTATAAATCATCACGTATCATCATTTACCATCATAAATCATCACCTGGCATCATCGATCATCATGTGTAATCATATATCATCATATATCATCATGTATTATCATGTGTCATCACATAACATCTTCTGTCATCATGTATCATCATACATCATCATACATCATCATATATCATCACATATTTCATCATGTGTCATCATACATCATGACATACCATCATGCATCATCATACATCATGATTTACATCAGCACAGAAATCATCATGTAAATACATATATATATATATATATGTATATATATATACACCTGTCATCATCATCATCATCATCATCATCATCAGCTCCCTCTTGGCGCCGGGTGGTTTGGAGATTGAGCGGTGGTGGTTTCCCATTTGCCTTCCACAACACCATGGAGGGTTTGTCAGCTTCCCTCCTTGGTGATCAGCCCAGTCGTCGTGGCTCATGGGTCATGAATGTTCTACCGTGATTTACTACGGGTGCCCTCTACCCCTCTCATGGTGGCCTACCCTATGCATAGAGGGCGAAGCTTATTGCTCACCAATTCCAAACAAGAACGCCGCTTAAGCCACTTCGGCTTTTGCAGCCATCCTTTTCGAGAAAACTTTTGTTGTTGCGAACCCATGTTCGGGTAGCGGGTCTGGAAAGCTAAAGCACATTGTGCACATTTGCTTCAAGCAAAGTTCGCTGACCCTTCCAGGGTCCCAGGTGCTCGTGAACAATAATCAATACTTGGGTGTTCGGCCAAGCTAGTAAGCTGTTGCTATCCTAGGTTACACCCCACTTTTGAGTCGCCCCTTAGTAGGGTTAACCTGGTTGTAATACCCAAGTGGATTACCACGTACTAGCTTGGCCCAACATCCAAGTCATCAAGCAGGAAACACATCTTGAAACGAGAACCCGCTGGAACCCACGCGTGATTTGCTAGTTAGCAGGGAAGCACGAACCTCCAATGTCTAATGCCGCACCGCTGCATCGGCTGACTTGATGTTAAAAAGTAAGTCTGCACCAGACTTTGTTCCGCCATTGAGGACTTATCAATATTGATTTGTGCACATCCAAAGGCCCCTTTTTGTTTCACACAAATCAAAACACAATTGCATGAAAACGATAAACATACAAGGAATCCCGGAGCTCGAGACGTCTCAACAATGAGTTCGCCACTTTGCTCAAGTACCTGCGTTGGCTCAACACTGTGCGCTGCACATACGGCACGGATGCAAAACGTCGCCACATCTTTGGGCTTCCCTCGAGCCCCGTGAGTTCTTAAATTTGTTTGCTTGTTGATCGCATGGCAAGGAGATGGCCATGGGAAGCGTGGAGTTGCCCTGCATGCAAGCGGCTTGGTCATCAATGAGCTGTTGCTAGGTTCAACTCCTTGCCCCCACCCATACCAGCCGCCAAGTCGCTCTCCTCTGCAGATTGTAGAACTCACTGTACCGTCGCAGCACCTCGTTACACTTCAAGCCCAGTCAAAAGGAAGCCGAAAGCGGTGGTTCGTATTCCCTGTAAATTTGCATTGACATATCAAACCCTTCCAGGGTACCTTCCGCGAGCATGCTTCTATATAATTTTATATAAGTGCTTCCGCGGGCCTTCGGCAAGTTGCTTCTGGAAATTGAAAAGGTAGTCCGCGAGGGAATTCGTATGCGTGGTTTGCTAGTAAACATGCTTGGCAACAACCACCCAAGCGAAATCAAACTACTATGCGCAAATCAACCACGTCCCTTCCCCGGGAAAAACACCTCTTTTTTTTCGCAAACCTTTCTTGGCTGCAGTGCGGCTCAACATTATTTGTTGATATGCCAACATCTGTACATGTTTGCTTGAGGGCAAAAAGCCATGCCACTCATGTGGGAAGCCTTGGGTTGAACAGGTCAGCCCGTACCTTACCCCTCTCTTTCAACCTGCGTTCCGCCGCATTCCTTACAACGCAAGGCACCCCACTTCGGCAAACATCTTGTATTCTTCTGCCAACATGGATACCCCACACGCAATGATACTTTGGGTTTACCTGCGATTAATTTACAATCCTGCTGCACTAGTTCTCCTTCGCAGATTTCGACTGTCTTGTGACATGACTCATGGCATTTGCCTTATGTGCGTGATGCAAATTTGTCATCGCTTGACACCGATTCAGCTATGTAGACGTCAGGCTGCCCGGCGCTGTATGCTACATGGAATCTATGCACCCTTTTGTAGCAGATTTCAACTGCACAAATTATACAGCAAACTCGCCGATGGTTTAAAATCATGCATCCTTTCTTGGCCAGTCAGCTTAGGTTCAGAACAACTTGAACATTATCTGCCTAGATCGCCATCATCGCATTCCAAAGTAAACAACTGTGTTGAGGGTTGAGGGTTGGATCCTCCTTTACTTTACACAAAGCCTGAGCTTTCCCTGACCAATGCCATGCTCGGCAGGGCAAGAAACAAATGAAGGAGAGAAGAAAAATCATGGACACCCACTTGGGCTTGGTTTTAGTACGCTGCATTCCTTCGGCGCTTGATGGAGCTGATGCGTGCGGAAAGGGGCAAAAAACAGGCCAGCCTGGCCGCGCTTTCTGGAAACGAGTTTCGGTGTGGAGGCTTCTTTGTTTGAAATCTAGAGCATGCCCGAGGAGATTCCCGGCTCAAACGTGCTATGCAAATGGATAGGGGATTCTAGCCGCAGTACAGGACAACACAAGACACCTGCAATCCCCTTGTAATTTGGCACTGCTTTCTTGCCGATCGTGTGTCGGTGCGACTTTGCTGTTCAAATGCCATGTTCGTGTTGCATGACTATGCTTCGAGTGAGCAGCTTGACTCGGCAAAACAACAGGGCTCTGCAGCAAATAAACTCATCTCGGACCGACGCTGCCCCCTGCGCTGCCATGGTACCTTTGTCGTCCCGCGCGTGGCGTGGCTGACCTCCACCGTGAAGAAAGTCGTGCCATTGATCACCATCACGCCCTGCCGCTGTATCGAAAAGCTTGCTAGCTCGAAGAAGCGCACTCGGTGCCAGGCAAAGCGGGCAGCTCAACGGAACCAAGCACACATCCAGGCACAAATGTATGACCAAAAAATCCGGGAATCCGTGCAATAAATTGGTCCTTGTACCTCTCTGTCGCGCAGTGCTGTGTGTGGCCCCAAGCGCCAAACCTTTAAACAGCTGGGTAAGCGTTTGCAATACACACACACACACACACGCACAGACCGACCCATTGCTGTAAGCAAAACAGCAAAGCCTCCGGGACTGTAGCCGGGCACCGCTGAGGGTCTGAGGAATGTTTGTCATATATGCTGTCTCCTCTGTTCCTTCGCGCACCAAGCGAATTTCTTCATATCAATTGCCACCCTCGTCTAGGGTCTGCACTTCCTCGCTGCTCTCTCTCTCTCTCTCTCTCGTTCTCTCTCCCCTGCGCCATCTCCAAGAAAGGAATTCGAGGAAAGTGATGAGTGATGGATGAACACGCCTATCTTGTCGTCTGCATGCCGGGATGTCGAGCCAGATCCTTGAGTAGCTAAACCATAATCTGTATATTATCTATATATCGTCATCAAAGGCTTCTCCTGCCCTCTTACCAAGAAATGCTGACCGTGTCCTCGCGAACCATTCTTCTATGAGTTACACTGCCTGTCTTTCTGGTTCCTGACACTAACAGTCCGCGCTGGGATCCAACAATAACAACTACACGATTGCCCCCAGGTTTTGCTCTATGTCTCTCTTCCCCTTCCTGGAATTCAGAATCAGAGCAAACTCATCTCCCAGACGGGTGGGGGCCACCAAGCCGGGGAGTTGGACGTGTTGATCGACGCCTCGCGCGGCAGCCGGATGCCCGTGACCCCGAGGCTGTCCATAACTTGCTTGCCTCGAGAGCTCAGCGAGCATTTGGCGAGATTGCAAACAGGAGGCACTGCATACCCAAAAATGTATCATGGTCAAATTTGGTGAAGCCAAGTCCCAATCTTGCTCAAACCACTTTGCACCAGAAGCTACCAAGCCCGGTGGCTTGGGTGTTGGCAATAAACTCATCCCTTGAAAGAAGCCAAGTTGAGCGTCCAACCAACCAACCAACCAACCAACCAACCAACCAACCAACCAACCAACCTCCAGTCGTTTCGCCCAGGTGCGGCCGACGTTGTTCCCCACCACGGCGCCCAGCACTCCACCCACGACAGCTCCCACGGGGCCGGCCACCACGAGGCCCACCACGGCGCAGCCCACCAGCGGCGCAGCGTTGGCCATGGCCTGTGAGCGCGCCGTGGGCCATCGGAAGAACCCACTGAATTGTGGCCGAGTAGGGGCGAAACAGATATTCTGATTGTCGTTGGGACTTGCAGGGCGGTTTTGAGGGTGCCGACAAAGGTTCCGCGGCCACGTTGCTGGGGTGCATGGTGCAGCTCCAAGCTGAACGCTACCAGTTGCTTCCGTCTCTGCGCTGCTGCCGACTGCAGTACGCAACCGTCATATCTTGACCTCTCGCTGTTCAAGACAAAAAGCTTGCGTGTCACTTTACAGTGTGACGTCTTGCATGCCAGGAAAATGCCCCAACTGTGCTTTGTAGTCAAAGCGGCACCCTAAGCAAAACCGGCATGCACCGACTGGAAACCGTTTGCGCAAACCGGTTTCCGTTCACAGGGCGCCGGTCCGGACCGGTTCCCACGCCGGTCCCGGCCACGGTTGCTGGCCAACCTGGGTGCCGGGGATGACGCGCTCCAATCCCCGGGCGTAAAAAGCCGCACGCTGCTGGGGATATCACCGGCACCTATTATTTGGGCTGACAACATCTCTGGACTAGGTTGGGTTGGAGGCGTCTTCCGGGTTAGGTAAGGGGTTGGTTGGTCGCATCCGGTTGAGTTTAGTGGTTGCTCAGGTTGGTTTCGGATGAGCCTTGATGGTTTGGGCCTCGGCACAGGGCTAATACGCAGGCTGCTGTTGGCAAGGTTTGGGTTTTGGTTGGCATGGGGGAAACTTTGCGCTTGCGGCTGGTTTAGCCAACCAACCAACCAAACAACCGACCGACCAACCAACCAATCAACCAACCAAACCAACCAACCAACCAACCAACCAACCCAACTAACTAACTAACTAACCGAACCAACCAACCAACCAACCAACCGACCAACCGACCAACCAACCAACCAGCCAACCAGCTAACCAGCCAACCAGCCAACCAGCTAACCAGCCAACCAGCCAACCAGCCAGCCAGCCAGCCAACCAGACGGGCCAACAAGATTCCTCTACACACGATGGCTCTCTGCATTCCATGTTAACCTGCAGGCAATTCCTCCGTTGGCGGGAGGTCAGAATGCTCTCTGCCTTAATGCATTACGAGTAGGGTCGGTGGCGGAAGTTCAAACATATACGAACCATAGTTCTCCTTCTCTGTCTCTTGCTCTTTCTCCTTATGCATTTCTTTCTCTTTCACAGTCTCTTCCTCTTTCTCGGTCACTCGCTCTCGCTCTCCCTCTCTCTCTATAAATAAATAAATAAATAAATAAATATATATATATATGTATGTTCTTTTTCTTTTTATCTTGTTCTCTCTTCTGAATCTTTCTCTTGCGATTTCTCTTCTTTGTTAATTTATCTTTCTCTTGCTCTTCTCTTTCTTTTCATAAGCTCTATATTTATCTTTCTACCGTTCTAGCAGCTAGCTATCGATGTACCTAGTTGTCTTGATTTCTATTTCTGCACCCACCTACCCATCTATCTGTCTCCATACGTCTCGACATCTCTATCACTCTATCCCTCTGTCCCTTTGTCTCGCTTCTCTCTACCTCTCTGCCTGTCTATCCTGCTGTCCCGCTATCTCTATCTTGCTATCTCTTCATCCCTCGGTCTGTATCCCTCAAACTCTCTATCTCGTTGTCTCTGCGTCTCTCTATCTATCGGCCTAACTACCTACCTATCCACTGTTTTATACGTTTTCCTACATTGATCTATCAAACTATCTAGCTTTTGATCCATCCATCTGTCTACCGCTCGATCTATCTATCGATCTATGTATATGTCTATGTATGTATATGTTTCTCTTGAGCCTATCCATCTTTCTATCCATTAAGATTGTCCATCCATCTGTCCATCTGTCCTTTCTGGTCTATCTATTTAGCTATTCTAATAAATCTATCTATCCGTCCTTCCTGATTTCTTGCCTTCCTTCTTTCCTCCCTTCCTTCTTTCTCTCTTTCTCTTTCTTTCGCAGCTTTCTATCCATCTATGTATGCTCCTTCCATCTACCTAACCTCACTATCTAGCTACCTAGCTATCTGGCGATCTCTCAATCTATAGAACTATTGATCTGGTTCTCCTTCCGCCAAATCGACCTGAGCTTGCGAAAGTGCTGCAACTACCATTGATTCGCTTGCCAGCAAACCTGCACCTGGCCAAGCGGCAGCGATGCGCCTGCCACGAAAACTGAGCTTGACCTTGCGAAAGTGACGCGCCTGCCACTGCCCTAAAGAATTTGGGCTTTAAACGGAACTCCAGACACGTGGGCATTGCCCGCCAGGAGTTTCCTGGAAGCCCCGAGAACTCTTGAGGGTATAGTTCACCAGTGAAATTTTCCTTTGGAGGTTCCCAAGATGCCACCCACCTGCCGGGACAGCCTGCGCTGTCACGCACAGCCTTTCAAAACCGTGACAGGTGGCTTGCAGCAGTTGGTGCTGGCAAGTCCGAGGGGCTGCTCCCAGCACAAGGTGTCTAGACCGCGCGAACCCTGCGTCTGCCGGACTCAAATGAGTAAGTGAACAACCTGCGGCTTGGCATGCCGGCCTCTCCCAACCGCAAACAACAAGCAGTAGACCCACAAGCACCGCCCTGCGGCACACCATCCCACCCAGCCAAGTTGCTGATGAAAGGCTTGGCTGGTCCAAGTGACCAGGACAGCTTCTAGATTGTTTGAGGCTTGAGGAAGCAAGCGGGCGCATGCACGCACACATGCTGTCACTCTGTCGCCTCAAGACGCTGAATATCAGCAACGGCTGACAGCTGCTCAAGCAAAGTCAGTCGCTTGACAAATAAAACACGTTCAATAAGGGACACAGTATGAAAGTGTTGTGGCTGTTTCGGTGGTTGTTTGTCTGCTGCTGGATTAAGCAAAAAAGAAACTTGCACAAATGGATGGCTGCCTGGCCAACTGAAAATCACTCGTGTGCAAGGCACCTCTTTGCCACCATCTTGCGTTGAAGTGCGGGCAAATGACCAACTTGGCCTCTGAACAGTGCAACTTCTGCTGATAAGTACCTGCTCAAGCTCAGAAGTGGATGAAGATAAAGCTCAGTAACCTGACTCCTTGTATCTCTGAATGCTCCGGCTGCAGCCGGTAAGCCTAGCAGCTAGGAACTGCGGAGCAGTGGACTATGGATTCCACGTTGTAGTTCCACATGTTCCAGCAAATTGGCTCGCAATGTTTGCCATGTTGAGGAAAATCCATGAACATCTACCACGCCAGAGGGCCACAGCCACACTATGTTTCCAAAATAGCGGCTGCCGTCTTTGTGCCAATCTGCGAGCTGAATTGCTCTTCCGGCATTGGCAGAGTGGGGTGAAGGTCAAGAAGGTAAGTGCCGGCTCACCGGTGAAAGCATGATTGCCCAGTCAAACCGGTGTACTTGAGGGCGGCTACTTAGGCACTGCGAAGACTTACAACGAAGGAAGGGTGGGATCGGGCTATGACCAGGGCTGCCCACTATTTGCTAGCCTGCCCCCGTCTGTACATACCTGTCGTCGATTCTTCTGGAACCCTTGCATAGGCTTGCTGTAAAGGGCAACCACCAGGAAACCAAACAATTCGAGGATTCCCCTGTGCAAGCTATGAGCAGCTGTCAGGCCAGAAACGCTGCCGAGTCTCAGCTTATGCCTGCACCAGCCCCGAGCGCGTCGCATCCAAGCAAACCAGCACCAGGTCTCCTGACGCCGTTGAGGCACTGGCACTGGTGGCAGAAAGTCGAGGAACCGCATGGAACGGAACGTGACGTTTATTATGGTTGATGATCAACCTATTGACAAAAACAACAAACCAGCCAGGTGGGGCGTTGTACTTTTTCAAGCACGGACGGCACTTTGAGTCACAAGGCTTTCTTATTCCAAAGTGGGCCTCAAACCTCAGAAGTTTGCCCCGTACACCTCACGTAATGGCAATGCTCCTGACTTCCTCCCAGCCGGCACCGTAAAGGGCAAGGTTCGTCCGTCTGGCACCTGTATGGCACGCAAAGCCGCTGTGCCACTGAAACCTCACCAAAGGTTCCTAAAATATCTGAGATGTGAGGAAAGGGGTTGACCAAATACAATGGCGACCCCCAACCCCTTTCAGGGCGGCGCAAAATGCCGAGGACACTGTTTGTTGTCAACCCGTGTGCTCAACCCAGCACCGAAAGGCATCCTCAAAAAACGACTTCTCCAAGGGAGGCGAAAGTATAACATTCTGTCCGAGGCGTAGCTCTGGACTACAAATTGGGACATAAACAGAACCAAACACCTGAAACAAGTAGCACATAGGAAAGGGGGGATTCATCATTATGCTTCGCTGCTGTCTCAACAGCACCACTGCACACCGTTGCAGAACACCGCCTCTCACGCCATTGGACTGGGCTGCCCTCAGATCCCTGCTAAAAGTTTAACTTGTAGCGGGTTAAATGGAAACCCCCGCTAAACACTAAAAGGCTAAAAAGCTAAGGGGATGGGAGCCACCAAGTGGACATAGGGCAATGTCTTCACCGAGTCAACACCTACCACCCACCAACGAAGACGGGCCTGAATGTTGATGGCCCGGCCGGGCTCCGAGCCCGGTGGCAGCTGGATGCTGAACATTTCACCTCCTGAAGCCCAATCGGACCAAAGATTCCAGGATCACGCAAAAATGTAGACAACTTGCTGAAGCCAACAAGCAAGCCCATGTGCAAGGCTGGCATGGCTCCCACTCCTGCCCCAAAAAGAAAACTTTTCTGTTCCCCCCATTCGCCCTTGTGATTCATCATTCATCTATGACTTTGCTCGGTCGACCCGGCGCTTTTGCTGTCTCCTGAGCCTTGGGAGTTGGTCTGTGGGTTGCAAGTTGGCGCCACGGTCAGTCGCCCCTGCGCGGCATCGAACTCCAACTGCAGCTCCTTCCGCGTCCGAAAGCGCGGCGGCAATTCTTCCATGGCTCGCCTTTAAAGGGGTGTGTCTACAAGAACCTTACGTATTGTGCAAGTCCTCTGAACAAAAACAGGCCGTTTGCATTTGGGGGGTGCCCTCATTCAAGCTGTCAGCTCAAGTGTCCAAGTCCAATATGAACAGCAAGGGGACGTCAAGGACCTTGGGACCTTGAACAAAACTTCCTCTGCGCATGAAATTCGATGCGAAACATCACGTCATAAGCAAGGCGGCATAGTAGCGAAGGCTAGCTGCGATGTATGGGTCTTGGGGCTTGGTCAAACCCAAAAACACAAGGCTCCTTGAACATCACAGGAATCTCATCCACATGGCCCGACATGCGATTCATACGGCTCAAGCCTCAAGCGAGAAACATAGGAACCAACCAGGAGTAAAGCTTTGACCGCACGGCAGGATTAAGACATGCAGCTAGATGATGCAGGTTCTTGAGGTAAATAGTATGATATGTTCATGTTTGACTTCATAGGGCAACCATACAAGTCTGACCTTAATATGTTGTCACAAAAGGCTCATGAAATCCGATCAATGCTTGTCCAATGCAAGCGCGGTCTCATGAGTTGTTGACCTGCCAGAACTGGGAAGACTTGCTCGCTCCTCTCGGTGGCCTAGTTCATTGTTTTGATGTCTGTACTTCTTTTTTTATGTTGTTCTTTGTGTTGCTGTTGCTGTTGACATTGTTACCATCACCACCACCACCACCATCAGGACAAGTATCAACTTTACTATCAATGGATCAACCCGAGGAAGAGGAATATGATATAAGAGGCTTTGAATTGACTGAAGAGGTGGCAGAGAAGCGCAATTTAAAGCATCCTTCTTCGCAACTTACAACCGGGCCCTATCCTCACTACCTGAGTGCCCAGAAAACGTCTCAACTGGCAGCGGTTGCGTCGTGAGCGCCTGAGGGGCGTCGGGAGGGACCACCACTGTGAGCTCCCGGCCATCTGGCACCTTCACGGCCAGCATCTGTCCTTCCGGCAGTTGGCCCCAACTGTAGGCTTGGCAATGGGCAAAGGCGCCCAAATTAGAAGTGGCTTGGCATGCTTTTGTTTGCTCTTACTCCACAAGGGGACTTTTGGGGCTCCACATGGAGATCTACCTCGCTGGAGGTGCGCCCTTCAATCAAACTGCGCCGAGATTGCCTGTGGACCTCTCGAGATCTTTCAAGGATTGAGCCCATAGAGGGGCCTTCAGAACTGTTGTGGGAGCACCCCTTCGACAGTCTCAAACCAAGTACGCCGGACTCCTAGCCTGGAAGCAAAGTGACACCAAGCCACCCCTTGGAAGACTCGTTTTGAGTCACAAGGAGACATCTTGCCTCCCCGGTTGGTTGGCGATGGTAGAACAGGTTCTGAATCCGAGGTTGGGCCCCTGAAGACTGGGCAAGATGAGATTTCAAGTGCCAAGAAGCACCCAAAAAAACTCTCATTGATCAAACCCACGAGGGCTCCACTCATGAGCATGCACCAACCGTCAGACACTTGTGAAAAAGTCACAAATCTACCCCTCACCTTTCTCAGTCAACATCAACGCGGCCAAGCGAGTATCTGGGCAGCTTCCCCTGGCTCGAATCAGGGCTTCGCGCTTCGTTGGGCCCAATCCCATCCCTTTAAGGTGAGTCAACTGCCATTTTGGTGTCGGGGCATGCTGCATGCTTCAGACATATCCCGAACACCCCGGATCCAGTGCAATAAGTCGTAAAGCTGCAGCGCTGGATGAACACTCGAGCAGGGCAAGGCGGCATCTAAAGCTGTCCCCTGGCAGCCCTCTTTGTTCAACCCTATCCGCCATCCATGGTTGCACATACAGGCATTCACCAGCCCAGAGCAGTCCTGGCCGAACGCCTGCTGGCACAGAGACGCTCAAAAGCACTTTGTTCCTCAGATCGCTCCATCCAAGGGGCTGCCACACTCAGGTCGGGCCAAACTGGCGACTCGCAGGCCGCAGTCCCCCTGGGTTTGGGCAGACCCAGTCAAAGCTGGTTGTGGATTGGCCTTACAGATCACAGAGGCAGACCCTGCCCCCTGGCCAAGGTGGCTGGCCATCCCCTACCCCGCCCGTCAACCAAAGTCAGGACTCAAGCTTGATTTGAAATTCTACCTATCTCAAACTCGGCACGCAGTGGGCTCAAAAGGAAGGCTGCTTAAAGCTAGCTCGACACAAGCCAAAGTATTCCAGCCCGAGCCAGGTCGCGCAGTGCCGTTCTGGTCCCCCAGCGCCAGCGGTGTATCCCCCGATGTGTTTGGAGGGCGCTGAACCCGCAGCATGGCTCCGGGTGAAGCGCCCTCAGGCACCACGATGATGAAGCCTCGGTCTTGGGCCCGAGGCGTGCGAAGCATTTTTCCGGGTGGGTCTCTGGGACGCTGTTTTTGTGTTTTCATCTGTTATTTTCTTACTTCTTGCTTTTTTTGGGGGGGCCGGGGTGCTTGCTGATATTTTTTCGGCCTGTGGATGCAGAAGCAGTGCGCCAACACACCACGTAGGGGGGCCCCACAAGAAATCAGGCCTAGGTGGCGTGGAGGCAATCGCCAATTAGGACAAACTGGGACCCATTTAGGTCTGTCTTACCTTCTCATAGTGAGTTTGAACCGGAACCAAAGCGAGGCAACCGTGAGGAGATTCTCTTTCACTCTCTCTCTCCCTCTCTCTCTTTCTCTGCCCTGATGTTGAGAATAAACATATGTTGGCCTCATTGTTCTGATTGGGGGGGCTTTTGTCCACCATGTGCGAGGCTTTTCCAGGACCAAAAAAGACAACCCGCTTTCAGAGATCCGGATCTCTTTCTGGGTGACCCCAGCAAGGGAAGCAAAAACAACTGTCGCACTTGGTTGTGCTTTTTTGCTTTTGGGGGACCCCCCAAAAAAAAGAAGAAGCAGCAGATTTCCCTATTGGTTCCCCTTTAACACACTAAAGGGGTACCGTCAAAAAGAAGTCACACCCCGTTTGTAGAACCTTTTCCACCGGACCTTCGCCGCGCCGCTGGGCCCACCGGGCGCCGTCACTGTGAGAGGCTGGCCGGGCACCACGCCAGGAGGCACTTGCACCGAGATGAATTCGTCCGGCACGGGGACCTGATTGCTGCCTCAGGGCAGCAAAGCTGCATCAACATGGAACCTGACGTCGGGAGGACCCCCTCTGGTTCCGCGTTAATGGGAGGGTAGAAGTTAGGCATCAGGAGCAAAGCGCCGCGACAGAACTTGCCGGGACATGCTTTCAGCCCGCCAGCGAAACTGCTGCGTTTCCAACGGCAAAATGCAGATTGAACACCGGCAGCACTACTCGCCATGCCCAAAAAGCCGGGGCCCGCGCCTCTTTCCAAGAAATCTCGCAACGGCGACTCTACACGCCAAGGCATGCCGTTTGCCGTGTAGCGGAGAGCCACGTGGCGAAGCCAAACTTCCTCAGCTAGCAACGAAGCAAACAGACGCGTTCCCTTGGATCAGTCAATGGGGGCAATGGGACTTCCTGCGGGCGAATGTTGACAGGGAGCAACACCAATCACTGCAAGTTGCGCAGAAGGGCATCTTACTTGACGCAGGCACGACCAGCAACGTGAATACAAATGGCTTCAACATGACGCAACCAAGCAGGAGAGCCAAACACCAGGGAGGATGATTCAGCAGCATTCATGCCTCAGTCTCCTACGCCTGAAGCTTCTCAGCCCTTCTACTGTTGATGCCAAGCATAGACCTCAGATCTAAAACCGGCTGGTTGTGTTCTTAGCTCCAGCTCCAACAATCAACATTCTTCACACGCACCCCGGGCAAAACAAACATTCGGAGGGTGTAACCGAATGAGGGCCCTGACCATGTTTAGGGAGCACTGTCTGTGCACCATCTTTGATATCCAGTCCTGGGCCGGTGTAAAATCCCAAATGCTAGTTTGATAAAGAAAAAACATCAGAATGCCACTTGCAACGCATGATCCTGCCTCCTAATACTACTTTCATGCACTGATTCTGCTCCTCAAGACTACTTTCCGGCAAAACGCTCTGACTGTTTGTTTGGGGGGATACCGCCATACTTTCAGCTCTTCAAAATTTGGAGTTAGGGCAAGCCCGAGCAGGTAGCACATGAGGATTTGCCTCTTCATTACCTCACTTGCTGAGAGGAATGCCCACAGCAGCCAAACTACTTGGACTTTTTGCCACAAGCATGGTCCCAAAAAGTAAGCCTCACTTGCACAAAGGACCTCGAAATAACAAAACACAAAGAAGCTCGACCGCTGGGGTGTCAACTGGTTTAATCTGGTTGCTTCCTTCCTGCGCCCAAGCCGCCAAAGCGTGGCGCCGCTCTTCCAGCCGCGGGCCTTCACATCCAAACCACAGCTTCCTGGCGACAGGCCAGAGGAAATGGGTGTGACAACGACGCGGCAAGCCCCGCCCCCCCCCCCCCCCAAAAAAAAAAAAGATCCTTGCAGGCAAAACCCATGCAGCTTCGTGGGGACCCCCCCCCCTTTTTCTTGCTTACGCTGCTTCCTTCGCTTCCCCTTGGGCCTCTTCAAGGCAACGTCTCTCTCGGTTGACACCCGACACTCCCAAGTTCCATCTCATCTTCCTTGGAACCAAATCGCCTGCCGGTGCACCGCCCTTTGCACGCGTATGCCGGAAGGACATTCGCTTGCCAAAGGGCCGTTGCCGGTTCAGTAGGTTCTGCTTTTGGACCCATGACTCAAAGTAGAACCTGGACAAACCAACGCTTTTCTTTGCCTGGAAATCCTTGCGGGTTGGAGCTGTACATGTGACGTGAGCCCTCTTTTGGTCACACATGGACACGCCGGAGTTTACAAGGTCCACTTGCTTTGCGCAAGCAGTAAACACCATGGAACAAAAACGATGCCTTTTAATGTCTCCGAATCCGCGAGATCAGGCGAGCCTAGGGAAGCGACACCGCCCTCGGACGTAACGCTTCAGCTCCCGGAACTCGTTGTAACGCCTCGCAGGGATGGTGCAGTGTGGCCCTTTTAAACACTTACGACTTGGCAAAAGGAGAATAACAGAGAAGCACATTTATCAAAGGGTCCCTTTTGTGGCCAGAAAGCGATATGGAATCAATGATTCTATACTGATTTCTAGCATCGACAGATGTGTAACCCCTGCCTCATGACTCGCCAGGTGCCCCGAGTGGAGTGCCTCACCGTGCCCGCAAGCGGTTGCCTTTTCAGTAAACCCACCAAGGGGGGGAAAGAGGTGCCTATTAGATTAGCAACTGGGCCAACAGGCCTCGTAGAATGGAACGTCAAACCATGCAGTGAAAATCGTGCACGCTTACAGGTTGTTCCATCCGACTAGACGTGCCTGGCGATTCCCAGAAACAACCCTTACTTTTGAGTGGAATGAACCGAGCCCAGGATTGGACCACGTTGGGCCCTAATTCGCACCATGGCAGGGACGCAGCCATCATCACACCAGCACTGCCAACAGCTGAGAGAAAACTGTCGGAGTCTGGTCCTGGACAAAACACACATATCCGTCCCTTGTCAGGTTCCAATGAAAGATGGTCGCAATCATGGGCTCCCTCATGCTCCCTCGTTGCCCAGCCCTAACAGTCGATCAAGCTTGCCATGGCTTATTCTGCAAATGTTGCACATTTCAAGCAGCCCGCAATAGCCCCATCATTTAGAGGGCCAACCTTGTTTCCATGTGTAAGGCTTTGGGGAACGGCCTGTGCATACAGCTTCATGATTGTGCTTGCCCAGGCTCTGGTGTGGGTGTCTTTCACCAAGAATTGGTGGTTTCCCGGTTTCCCTTTTAATCAACACCAAACTCAAGCAGTGCACCCTCAAAACAAAGACCGGCTATGGCAAATAGCGAGCACAGCTGTTTGGGACAAAGACCATGGCGATGTCCAAGCAGCACCACGTCTACTGCGAAGTAGGTGACGCCGTTGTGCTCGCACATCCCTTCTCTGGGCCTCAAGAAGCTGCAGGCGACTGCCGAAACCAACACGCCGCAACTAAGTTGAGAAGCTCACTGTCACATGCTGCGCTCAAAACGGGTTCGTTGCAGGCAAGGGTTGCACCAACTAGTGGTAACTAGGCAGACAATCCGAACACATGCTCACCCGTGATTTGCAAAGTGGAGAACGAGGTGCAACGTGGGTAATGCTTTGCGTCAGACGGCTTTGAGGCCGGCATCTTCCGTCTGCAGTGCGTTGTTCTGTGCCAACGCTCGCACTGTAGGGGAAAGTTTAAGTTTTGGTCATGAGCTCCTTCGAAAGGATGAACGTATTGGGTTTTGTTCAAACAACAGGGACTTGGTGCAATGTTGTGGGCTGCAAAGTGGGGCTTGGCAGATGCACAATGAACAAATTTCCATCCCCCCGCCTTCCAAGTGACACGCACCCAAATTTAATGGGGGGCTCCCTTTTTGGATGGCATTTAAAGGCAAAACCGAAAGAAGGTTAACTTTTGTTTTTGCGGGGGAGCGATCCCCTATGTTTGTCAGCACCTTCTTGGGGAGAGTTTAAGGGACATCCGGAAACTTGCCTTTGGAGACGCACGCAAACGGGCTCACCCCGCCAAGCGGCAAGCTGATGGTGGACACCCCCAGTGAGGGCAAACGGACGCTCGAGCGTTTGGAAGAGGATGCAGCCAATGCGGCAATGCCGCCCCCGATGACGGCGCCCACCGGACCTCTGGGGAAAGCATGGGGTTTAGAACCGTCCACAAACAAGTACGGGATAGACCGCGGATGGACAAGGTTGCATGCTTTTCCTACCTTCAGATATTGCATGCATTGCCCCAGGACGGGTGCCCCCAGGAGCAAACAGCAAACAAACAACCCATTTGCAATATGGCAAGCCTCCACATATTGACCTCCAAAATCACGTTAGGCAAGAACAATACTGTAGAAGCCTGCACATTTTGGTTTTCGAATTTCTGAAACGCTCCGGACGTCCTTCGCCTGCACAGTTTCTCGTTGCCTGCTCCACACCGCCCGTTTCCTGCTTCACCCCACCCCACAAGGAAACTCACAATAAAGGCCCGCGAAGAACGTGGCCGCGCGTCCCGACGCCCTCAAAAGCTCCGAGGCCCTGCGTTCCATGCGAAAGGAAAATGATGTGACTGTCTAGCCTTTCGTTTGCTTCTCCATTGTGAGTTGTTTGGCACATTTTGCATGTAGCGCCATGTCTTGTAGGACAATGACTTCCAAAAAACGGCCCCTGCATGTGCCTGATATGTTTGCTGCTTGACACGGACTGAGCGCAATAAGTTCCTGCACTAAACTGGCTTGGATCCATCCCTCCTGCGACGGCCATGCCCAGCGCTGCGCAACCAACGGTGGCCACCACGCCACCCATGGCGCCCGCTGTACTGGGCGAGTGGGTGACAATCCTCAGCCGAACTCGGGGAAAAAAACAAGGAGATTCAAATTCCCCGGTAGAACACACGGAGCTAAACTAACCCCCTGAGGAATCTCCTTTTGGGAATGTGCCCCGGAACCTCCCAAGCTGCCTGGAACCTTCCAGGAGTTGTTGCTGGGGGGAAAAACCGCTGGCCATCCCCATCCACGCTCATCGCAAAAGGTGCTTTTGGGGGGTAGACATTTCAGCCGCACAAGTTTCACCCCCCCCATGGAATACAGCAATTAGCAGCTTCCAGGCTGATACTGGCTTGCACCCTACCGGTTTCGAGAGCTAGCTGCAGGGGCTCGGGGCATGTGCAATTCGTAGGCCGTGGCTGAAACTTGAGTCAGGCATCAGAGACGTCATGTCTGACCATCCACCAAGAAACAGCCAGGAAAGAACGCCCCTGACAAGTCATTTGGGGTATCGAAAGCCAGCTCCTGGCAGCCAAGGTTCTGAGTTGACATCTCGGTTCAAGCAACCTGGGATGCCTGGTGAAAACTGCCAACGTGAGCTGCGCGATCAGCTCGCACCTCTTCTTTGAGAGCTAAGTCGCTGCGGGTGACCGAACTGGCCCGGACTCCGTCCTGCAATAAGCTCACTTTCGAGTAGAAGAAAGAAGAAATATGAATAAAAAGGCACACACGTAAGCTCAAAGTTCCCGAGTTGAGTTGCCCAAAACAATTTCCCCTTAAACTAAAACTGGCCCTTTGAGGCTGACGATTCCGCCCAACCAAATGTGGAAACTCTTCAGGCCGTGAAATGATGAAGAAAGCTACCAAGCTTCGCGTTTGCGAAGTCAAGCCTGGAGCTCTCAGTTGGGTTCCTAGATTTTCCTGCGATTGGTAAATTGTGTTTTGCTTGCTTGCCTTCACTCACTTCGCCTTCCAAACAGAATTCACCATTTAGCGATGCCTTCAAACAAAGCCCATGTTCAAGCCCATCGTGTTATGCCCGTGCGTGTTTGGACTTGCACCAACTGTTTCATGCAGAAAGCCAGGCGCAAGCAAGAAGGAATTGCATGCATCTCAAGAACCAAGCAAGGAGCCCCCCCCCCCAAGACTCAAAAGACAAGCTTTCTCCTCTCAAGGGGCCTCCTCAAGTTCCATCAGCCTCAGGAAAATCAAGTGCCTAAATGGCACCCTGACACGTCCCTCCCCCCCTTGGTCCCAAAGCCAAGCTCCGGACGGCGCGTGGCAGCAGGCGAAGCGAGAGCCCGGAAAACAGCTGCGCAGTCGACAGGTGGGTTGCCACCATCTCGCGATATCGTCCCAAAATATGTCGAACAAAGTGATATTTTTTGTATTGTGGGGCATCAAGCGTAAGGGCATCGGTATAAGGATGTGTTTGCATTTAGATGTAAATGTATAGATATTTGCGGTGTGCATGATTGTGCATGTGTAGGCAGGTATTTGCTTTCCGCACAGTATATGTATCAAACTGTGTCCACACGTATCTTGATAATCGGATTTGCCTTCAAATGGGTCTGGGAGATACATTGCCTTTGGTTCCGGGTCAGCGGAAGTGGCAGTGCAACTCTCCGGGTAGAAGTAACTCTGTAATTCATGTGTTTGTTTGGCAGCCTGCAAGACCGGGAACGTGACAATGGCAGTATGGGAACGTGACAAAAGTTGAAGTCCGCACTCGAGTAAGTAACTACTCCAACCAATGGAAAATCCAGAATTAATTAGGCCTGTCAACAATAGAACATTATCTTGCTCTTGCGCTGTAAGCAAGCCAAACCTTCAGAACCGAATCACTGGCCCCAATTGCCATAAGAAACCACTGCCACAGCACCGTGGGTCTCGCTCTGGCCAACAGGGCCGCTGGCATCCAGCTGAAGAGGACCAGCGCCGTTCAAGCATCAACCCCTGGCGAGTCAAAGGTGTGACGACTGATTTCTAATTTTGCTGACAGCAAATACAAGTTGAAAGCACAAATCAGCACCGACAGAAAAACCATCCGCGTCTCCACGCCCCATTCCCATCCCCTCCGTGCACGCCCATTTTGGTACCCGCCGGGCCAGTCCGGCTCTTCTGGGCACGGCTTGGGGCCCGGCATGCGTGGCACAGGCGGGCCGGCACCTTAGGTGAGGCAGCCACTCAAATGGGGGGGGGGGGTGGGGGGGAGGCTTGTGAACTGCCAGAGGCTTAGAATCCTTGGGTTGTTGATCTCCAAAACCCTCCGAGGAATCGATCATGAGCAGTACACCGCAAACGTGCTGCCCAACCCCAAACCTCAGCCCGAGATCACTGGAAGATACATGACACCCTTTTCGTAACAAACAACGAACAATGATTCAGGATTGCTTTTGAGCAGGCAGAATATTTGTTGCACTGAAGCTAACAAAAAGGAGCGCAACAGGAACCAAAAGGGCTGCCAAAGGAAAACTGAAGAACACCTGTGTCAAGGGCCCCAGATTCTAGGATATCCAAACATGGCTTAATTTCTGAAGCAAAGCCCGTAGTCAGCAAGGCACCGATGCGAAGACGCACCTGGCCAACACACCGTTCTTGAGCAGATTTCGCGTCACAAGGCGCGATCATTGCCCGTTTGGGGCACGTCCCTTCCTGCGGTGCGCCCCCAAGGGCCGCCAGGAACTTCTTGTTGAAGTCGTCCCTGACACATCCCAATTCCCAAATATCCGTGCCAGGTGCCTCTGGTCGCCGCGGGCTGGGTGAAAGTCGGCGGCAGAATCTTCTGCATGACGCTGAGGAAAAGAATGACAACATTTGACAAACCAGTAAATCTGCAGGATGCCCCTGCAACCTAATTACCCCTTCAGATGCTATGATTTGTGGCCACTCTTGTCTCCCAGGCACTTGCAGGGAAACCACTGGTACACCGACATCGTGAGTTGGGTGTCTGATTTTCAGACACACCAAGGAACATCCCGTTGTCTGCCTGAGTTATGGCAGGTTAAAAAGGCACATGCGTTTTTGGCCGCCCGTTTGCTGGTTTTCTTTCAAGCGTTTGTGGGATGTTTCCTGTCCATTCTGTCCAATACGGTTTTTGTTGGGTCGGGTTAGGGTAGGCTTTAGGGTGCTTGCTTGCTTGTGTGTCTGCTTGGCTCGCAGGGGACTCCAAACCAAATCCCAATCCAGCGAGAACAAAGTCCCGCTAGAATATCAACCTCTTTACGTTGGGTCTCTGATGCTAGCCTCTCATGTATTGGCTGGCCCTCAAAAAGTTGCAGGTATAAACTCCAATCATCAAAGGAACATCTCGTGGTTTATCCGAGTTATGGCTGGTTTAAGAGACACACACGCATACATGCATATATGTATATATGTAAATAAATGTATGCATATGTGTGTATGTAGGTATGTATGTATGTATATATGTATGTCTGCATGTCTGCATGTCTGCATGTCTGCATGTCTGTATGCAGGTATGTAGGTATGTAGGTATGTAGGTATGTAGGTATGTAGGTATGTAGGTATGTAGGTATGTGGGTATGTGGGTATGTAGGTATGTAGGTAGGCATGTAGGTATGTAGGTATGTGGGTATGTAGGTAAGTAGGTATGTAAGTAGGTATGTAGGCATGTAGGCATGTAGGTTGGTATGTAGGTATGTAGGTAGGTATGTATGTAGGTATGTGAGAATGTAGGTATGTAGGTATGTAGGTATGTAGGTATGTAGGTATGTAGGTATGCAGGTATGTATGTATGCATGTATGTAGGTATGTAGGTATGTAGGTATGTAGGTATGCAGGTATGTATGTATGCATGTATGTAGGTATGTAGGTATGTAGGTATGTAGGTATGTATGTGTGTATGTGTGTATGTATGTATGTGGCATGTATGCATGTGTATGTGTGTATGTATGTATGTATGTATGTATGTATGTATGTATGTATGTATGTATGTATGTATGTATGCATGTATGTGTGTGTGTATCTGTGTGTGTGTGTATGTATGTGTTTATGTAGGTGTGTATGTGTGTGTGTGTATGCATGCATGCATGTATGCATGCATGCATGTATGCATGTATGTGTGTATGTGTGTTTGTATGTGTATGCATGTATGCATGTATGCATGTATGTACGTATGTATGTATGTGTGTATGTGTGCATGTATGCATGTATGCATGTTTGCATGTATGTGTATATGTGTATATGTATTTATGTGTGTATGTGTGCATGTATGCATGTGTGCATGTTTGCATGTATGTGTATATGTGTATATGTGTGTATGTGTGTATGTATGTAACATGTACGCATGTATGCATGTATGCATGTATGTATGTATGTATGCATGGATGTATGTATGTATGTATGTATGTGTGCATGTCTGCATGTATGCATGTATGTATGCATGCATGTATGCATGCATGCATGTATGCATGTATGTATGTGTATCATATGCATACATATATATACACAGTATGTTCCGCCCATTTTAGCCAGGGGGCAAGGCGGCAACTCCGGCTCCACCGCCTTGGGCACTGCCAAGCTCGGCCTCCACGTGTCCGCAGGGTCCGGGTCCTGTCAGGCGGTTCGGGCGGCTCGGCCGGCGTCCCCAAGTGCTCGGTGGAGTTTCTCCCAAAATATTGGAAAGCAAAGAACGCCGAATCTCCAATCCAGTTGCCATGCATTTGTTTCTGCATGTGTCTACATGCTTGTGCAGGACGGTTACTTCATCATTACCATGACCCATGGCTTTGTGGTGGAGGAGGCTTGGTGTGCTTCAAGGTTTAGGGCATCCAGCGTAGCCACGGTGCTCTGAGGTGCTCAGAACGACAGACAGCCAACTTAACAACTCTTGGTGAGAAAATGTGAAAAGTCTGCCTTACAACAAGTCCAGTTCAACCTCGATCTCGCTGCTGTGACTGCCAGCGCCAGGTTCGCCCCACGTGACCACAAAGCCATCCCCCAGAATGGCCGCAAATGCGGCGTCCGTTGCTTGGATCTGCTGGACGCGGTGCAACTGTTCCTGCAGCTGGCTGGCGTCACCGCCCTGGCCAGCATGTCCCCATGTCACCACCGAGCCGTCATCCCGGATGGCAGCAAACGCACTCCGAGTTGCTTGGACCTGCCTGACCTGTGTTAGCTGCTCTTGCACTTGACTGCTGTCCCCGCCTTTCTCAGGGCCCCAAGTGACTACAAAGCCATCGTCCAGGATGGCAGCGAAAGCACCAGCTGATGCTTGGATCTGCTGGACGTGCACCAGCTGTTCTTGCACCTGGCTGCTGTCACCACCGTAGGCGAAATGGCCCCAAGTCACCACAGAGCCGTCGTCCCGGATGGCAGCAAAAGCGCATTCAGTTGCTTGGATGTGCTGGACCCGTGTCAACTGCTCTCGCGCCTGGCTGCTGTCACCGCCATACTTAGGCAGGCCCCAAGTCACCACCGAGCCATCGTCCAGGATGGCCGCAAATGCGGCGTCCGTTGCTTGGATCTGCTGGACGCGGTGCAACTGTTCCTGCACCTGGCTGGCGTCACCGCCCCGGCCAGCATGTCCCCATGTCACCACCGAGCCGTCATCCCGGATGGCAGCAAACGCGCCCAAAGTCGCTTGGATCCGCTGGACCCGCGCCAATTGCCCCTGCACCTGGCTACTATCACCGCCAAAATCAGGATTGCCCCAAGTCACCACCGAGCCATCGTCCAGGATAGCAGCAAACGCTCTCAGAGTCGCTTGAACTTGCTGGACGCGCACAAGCTGCTCTTGCACGTCACTGCTGTCACCGCCACTGGTTGGATCGCCCCAAGTCATCACAGAGCCGTCGTCCAGGATGGCAGCAAAAGCACTCCGAGTTGCTTGGATCTGATGGACCCGCGCCAATTGCTCTCGCACCTGGCTGCTGTCACCGCCCCACTCAGGAGCACCCCAAGTGACCACAGAGCCGTCTTCCAGAATGCTTGGATGTGCTGGATCCGCGTCAACTGCTCCCGCACCTGGCTGGTGTCGCCGCCTATCTCGGAAAGGCCCCAAGTCAGCACGGAGCCTCCGGTGGCATGAAGGGCAAAGGCGCCCGTGGTCGAGGCCAGTGCGACGGGCTGCACAATGGCATCAATGATGTCCCCATCTCGCACGCCTACCTCGGACAAAGCCGACCACGGATCCAGCTTCTGCTGTCTGAACATCAGCGCCAGGAAGCGGCGTTTCAACAGCCATTGCGCCTTGGCCTTCAGTTCGCGAACGGGCGACTGCGGCGAAAGCTGAACGCGGCAGCTTGCCCCACTCACCAAGTACACTTCCAGTTGCATGGCCCTTGGGCTAGACTGCCTCATGCAGATATCGGCCACTTGAGGTGCGGGAGGCAGTTTCAAGTTTGAATTGCTACCGTGGTTCCCCATTTGCCCTCGACTTAAGGGGTGGTTTATCTCTTGGTGGTTGGAAGCCCGGTGGTTTGGGGGTTTAAGGGGTAGTTTCCCTTTTGCCCTCCAGCCAGGGGTTCCTTAAAATCCAAGCCACCAATTGAGTAGTGGATTGGTCTATGTTGCAAGTAAGGGAACCAGTTGAAACCCTCGGATTTACCGTTCAGAAGCTGCCATGTTGTTCGCTTCCATGTGTGTGTGTGTCATAATGAAGTGGATTTAAGTGGCATCATGGCAACCCCATGCAGTTCCATACATTCAAACTGGAATCCTAAGCTTCGCAACATCAATGATCCCTCTTTCGGTCTCAGAAGCTGGGATACTCCGGAATCACAGGTGGACCCTGCCACACATTATGCCAAACTCGTCAGAAAAAATCACGCGGAATGTGTTTAGTTCACCTCGAGACCGGCCGGATCTTTGAATGTTGTCATGTCCTTTCAGGATGCACTCCTAATTGCATCACAACCCTATGATACGGGGATGGTCTCCGGAAAACAGGGGTTGTGGTATGGTGGTATCCCAGCAAATGCAACAACCCATGGACACACACCATGAGGGGTACACAACATCAGCCCTTGACCAGTGGCACAAGCTCCATGCCTCCAACTGCGATGCTTGAAATGGCCCCTATGGAACAATTCCCATGAGTTGCTCAAAGCACCCAGGGAAGGTACAAGATGGTACAAGACTCACCCTTACGCGGACCACTTGATCGCGCGCGGCTTTTCCACTGAGCATGCCAGCGGCTCATACCTGGGCAGCTGCGCGCCGAAGGTGCCCTGCTAACTCGTCCTTTTGCTTTGAAACAGAAGGTGTCTTCGTTTCAGGTTGCACGTTTAAGGTGGGTTTAATTATTCATGGCTGAGCACAACGGGCAAAATCACAATGTTCATCATGTCGACAGGGGGGAGATGCATAAAATCCTGGGGTGCGAAGCCTAGCGATTTAATGGCAGTGAATGGCTTGCAAAAGTTATGTGGTCGCAACATACTCGTCGCCAACAAGCAATCATTCGAACAGCACCCTGCATAATGATGGTTGTGCGCCATGCCAACCTCACGAGCAGACAAACAAACAAACAAACAAACAAACAAACAAACAAACAAACAAGCAAGCCACCAAACAAACAGACAGGCGGACAAACAGACAAACAGACACGCAGACAGACAAACAGACGAGCGGACAGGCAGACAGACAAACGGACGAGCAAACAACAAACATACCAAGCGTGAACCAAACCAAACCGAACCAACCCAAGCCAAACTAACAACGATACAAAAACACAATGCAACAAAGTAAGAAATAAATAACACAACAACGTAAGCACATAAACAAATAACAAGTATGTTACGTTACTTCGACTCGGTCGCAGCTGTCGATCGCAGGCTCGGTCGGCGGGCTGGTTGTGGCGGCCGGATGTCCCTTAAAATCTAGCAACCCCAAACCTCTCGGGTGGGCAACAATGAAAAAAAAAGAGAAAGAGAGAAAGAAAAACGGAAAGCAAGCAACGAACGATCAACAATCAAACAAGCAAGCAAACAAGCAAACAACCAAACACACACACACACACACTCACACAAAAGAGGACCACACCTGCCGCAAAAGGCATCCAGCCATATAAGAATGAAGAGCATGAGTACGGGCATGGGTCCGACCAACAGCAAACTCTCAGAACCGGGCAAATCAGCAGTTGCCGTCAACTTTCCCGTCGAACAAGCGGTGCTCTCATATAGATTCCGCAAAAAACTATGCCCGGCTGCCCCCTAATATCCGAGCAGGCTTGGTTGGTTTGCTTCCGAAAGGCATGGGAAATTCACAGCCAAGGTACAAGCCTTCGCAGACTCCGCTGGCACCTGATGGCTCAAAAGCTTTCCCGCCAAGTTCTTGTCTTCGGTGAAAACCTCCGTCCGGCCAGGAGCGATGTGGGTGTTGAAGTAGACCTTGGCTTTGTAAGTTTAATATTTTCAGCTTAGCTCCAGGACTGGTGCGATCTCTATACCTGTTGGCCATGGCTTGCGCTGTCCAAAGCATTCCCTAAGACGCCAAACTTCCTGCGCATCAAACTGAAGCTCTTTAAGAAATTCCCGCTAAGTGCCAGTCAAGGCGCCGCGCAGGCCCAAATTTCATCATCCGCCTCCCGGTCGGCTCCGTCGGGAATGGTCTCAACCAGCTGCTGCAGTCGGATGGCGCTAGGCTGGGAGGCAGGGCATTCGCGAGGTCTGGATCTAAGCCACTGGTTTACCATGCGCACGGCCTCTCTGGCAGCATAGGCCGACTCCTCGCGCTTCCTCGCTTACGTGAAACAGCGGCCTGTTGAAATTGAAAACTACGCTTGAGGTGTTAATCATTGGAATAGGGAGCAATGCTGGAACTGAAGGGGTGGATCCAGGATTCCGTTTGAAGGGTCCATTCCAATGAAGGAGGCACCAGCAAAAACTTGGCTTTGAGCAGACGGGCTTCTGCTGGTCATCCAGCTCTTTCCAAACAGCGATGGGCACGATGATGTTGACCCCGGGTGCGTTTTCCAGAATTTCATTGATGGCTGTGCGGTTGTCGTCAAGCAACTGGTTGGTGTCCAGAATTGCCTTGCCGCAAGGCCGGAGGAATGCACAACCCCACAGGCCAGGCAGTCGTCGCAGTGTCACTTGATATGCGTTAAACAGCACTTCCGCGAGACAATGGCGACATACACACACACACACACAGCAAAGGCCTGTAAACCCAACGGCAAGAGCAAATGGGTAGCTCGGAACGAAGGAGCGCGTGCCAATCTGAAGCCCAGCATTACGCACTGATGCCACAAGCAAAACACGGCCAGTGAGTCCTGGGAACCTCATGGAAAGCGCCGCGTTCATCCCCATCTGCCTTTGACTGAGGGATGAATTGGAATGGGTTGTTCCGAAGAGGGTCAAAAAATCCGGACACTTCGACAGGGAACACCACTACCACCTGGCATATTGACTTATGTTGTGATCGCTTTGAACTAGCAAGGGTTGGCTTCCTTCGCTTGCCCTCACAGGAGGGTATCCGGTGTCAATGCTAATCCGATCCCCCTGATAAAAAGGCCCCCCTCCCGCAAAAAAGGCAGAAAGAAGAAGGATAAAAGGAAAGAAGGAAAGAAGGAAGGAAGAAAGAAAGAAAGACAGAAAGAACGAAAGCAA